GTTCACTCGATAATGATAGAGGCCACGCAATGACTAGACTCATTGGGCAAGGCTAGATAAACACTGTTATTTTTACCCTCTGGTAAATGGACCACCACCTCACTTCAGGCCACAATTGTTCATCTTGAAGTCCTCTCACAGACATTCCTGCATGGCTTTAAATGGGCCTCTTGTCTCTATCTATGAAGTGATAGGTGAAGAGAATCCAAAATTTGCCTTATAATCTTCCCTCACTCTTGCAGTTAGTGTCTGTGTTTGTTATAGACCACAGGCTAATCTAAGATCGCATGCCTTTTGACATGCTGTTACTAGCTAAATTGATGGCGATCTCTGAAATAGGTGCTTTTAGACACCATTAGAGTAAACTATGAGCCGTCAGTGATGGTCAGCATCTGGAGGCCAAATTCTGTTGTCCCTGGCCGTGTGTGGTGGCGTGGGCCTAAAAAGGGCCAAGCGAGCGCCGCTGTGTGTTTGATCCTCCTCTGAACAGCCGCCTTCACAAATGCAGTTTCTGTGTGAAGGAAACAGCTCTGAGGAGCTGAGGTTTGTCCTAATGAATGAATATCTTGTTTTCACACACAGGCAGGTGGCCTTCCGACAATGTGAAAAGCCCACTCAGACATCAGAGTCTGGGGCCTCCTGGGTCTTAAAGGAGCAAGACCTTGCACTTAACACACATGGATACAAGTGGAACAACTGACACTTGTTAGACCAAACATAGCCCTGCTGCTAGACCAATTAGGCATCAGGAATGCACTTTGTGCAGGCCCTGGTATGAGTGATTGCTGGGAAAGCAAGCAAGGGTACTGTAAAAAGCCTTGAACAAGCATTACGCTGCACAAACGGGCCTCGCTGTTCTATGCTCTGCATTTTTTCTGTTGTGTTAAGGCTTGTGGCTGATGTGGGAGAGAATTTATGAAATTGATTTTTTCTATTGTGGAAATCAGAAACTTAATATACCAATTTAGCGCAGGTTTTATACAGCAGGCTCCAGACCTAAACTCTCATTCTCCCTGCCCTCTCTCAGACTCTCAGAGGACGAAAGATTGTGGGAAAAAGCAAGCGAGCAGGCAGGGTGTGGGCTCATGGGAGAAACTCTCTATTACTGGATGTTCCTAAAGTTATTCACTCCAAACACCCCAACAGCTAGCTCCCATAGCTCTTCTCTCCTGGTACATGGAGTGAGAATTAGTGAGATTCAGGATTTTTTTTTTCTTGTCAGTAGAGCTGTTTCATATCATATCTGCTTTTAGACAGTATGATCAGTTTTGCCTATTTCAGACTTAATCAGAAAGCATGTAAATGTCAGTTTTGAAAAGCATCTGATAGTTAGAAGTGCAGTTGTCATGTTTTGACATTAAAACAATTGAATTTACATGAATGGTTTGAGAACTGAGTTTTGGGCAGGGCTGCATACTAGAGCACGCAGGCTGATGTGTGCATTCTTTGTTAACCAATAGAGGAAACCATTTCTATTGTGGGGAATAGTGGACGTCAGCAAATACCCTGGCCATGTTCTGCCTTTCATACAGCCACACAACTACACACACACCCACACCCAGATGGAGGCCATACCCTGTGCAACTGGACAAATTGGTTGCGGGCAGATTTTCATAAAGGGGTTTAGAGTGGCATATGAGGGAAGCAGAGGGTTCTGATTAACCATGACTGGCTCACGGCATGGCTAGCCACAGCTCTGGTGGCAAGCATCCCTGAAGTTGTTTTTTTTATTTTTGTAGTCATTTATTTTTTACTTATTTGTTTATCTTTGAACATTCGGTCTTGAGCTAACTATAATACAGTGGGTCTTTTTGGAGGTTCTAAGCTAAAAATAGATAATAAATCTGTTCACGTAGGCCACTCTGATGTGCCTTTTGGAAACGCTGTTCACTTTCTTACTGAGTCTCTATGAGGATAAACTCAACCAATGTGTTTTTAATTGAGGCAGTGTGTTTCTTATTTGCAGTTGTGTACACTTCAAGAAAGATGCATTCCATGCACTGGATCTGTTCTATTGCACTATTCCAGTATTTCTTTTAATATAAGACCCAGTCCTGTTTCCAAATGCTGCATTCATGTGGTAGAAGTGATTTATGTAGAAACTTTATTTGCCTTCTGATTGACTGCTTTGTTGCTAAATCATACTTGCACACCTGCATAGTTTAGCCTTAAGCTATAAATGCCACATTATGAATGTAAATCATATTGGCTTTTGGAGATTGTAAAGAAGCTGTTTACTGTAAGCCAACGTTTAGCCCTGTCTGCTGGAATTTATGACTCAGCAACGGATGCAGGCAGAGCCATGATTTTCCTTGGTCCCTGTACTGCCACACTGCATGTTTACTGGAGCCTTTTCCCCATGCTTATGCTGTTTAATAAGGATGGGTGATATTGCAAACATACATCACAGTATTCAAAGACGTTTCCATAATGGACAGTATGCACTAAGATACTTTTCTGCAATGATTTGAAATCGACCCAATTCACCAGCAAAACAGTAGTACCTGCCAAAATATTTAAGAAGGAACTAGAAAAAGAATGGGACAACTGGTACAGACAAATTAATCTGTCTCAGTCTGTCTTTTGATCAGACATGCAGTTGTTCAGTATTCTGTAACTGCTGATGATACCCATGATATACTCAGAAAATGTACTGTAATGTAATTTATCACAACTATGAAAAGATCTCTGCACATTGCCCACCCTTGTACTGCAAGAGCAAAAAAAAAATATTTGGGAAGACTGGAGCCACCCTCATACTGTGTGCGATACAATCACATTTTACACAGCCCTGTTTTTCACTTCATATGCTTTTATCTATGAGGTGTTCCAAAGTACTAGACCAGACACTTGGCATGTGGAAACCGTGAAAATGCAATTTAAAATATTGTAGAGGGATCTAACCTTCTGAAAGAGCAAAGAGATAAGTCCCTGTCTTCCTTGTGGTGCGCCATGCATAAATCATGAACTTGTCTTACAATATTGCTTTGTTTTTGCTTCTCGGTGAGGGTTCCCAGCCTGGTTCCTTTTACTTGGCAGCACCCTTGCCCCTGAAGGCCAAAGAAAAGGTTTGTCATGGATTGCAGTGTACCAGGGCTGAATTTGCCTCTTGCTGGGACTGAGCTGCTTTTTGTATGACGCTCTGAGCCTTACACCAAGCTTGGGTCATCCACATGAAAAGCAGGCAGGAAACTGCTATTTTAGACCATGCTGGAGTAAATACAGGAATGAGTCGTAAACATATCAGGCTGTTCTCATAGGGTGTGCGAGAGAGAGAGGGAAAGAGAGGGAGAGGGAGTGTTTTGAATCATTCTGGGAAGTGCAGATGACATCTTTCAAAGTGTCATAAGCGCTTACTCATCCTGTGTAAATCTGGCCAGAAAAAAATAAACAAAACAAAAAACAAATACAGGGGTTAAATAGGTGGCTCAGAAAGATGATGACGTGTAGTATTATAATGTATATTATATAACAATCTCATTCTTCAGTATAAATTAAAGCCTTAATAAAGCAAACTTGCTATTATGCAATCTTTTCATTTGGCAGAGGGTTGAGTTGAGCTTAATTCTGGCTCTGAGAGGAGCTGGGTGGAGCTGTTAGGAGAATCAGAAGCCTAGTCTTTGCAGTTTCCAGCACATACTGGGGAAAGTCCCATTAACAGGCTGTGGGAAAAGGTTTCACTTCAGCCATCTGTGAAATTGAACGAAAGACACTTATGTTAGTCTACCAGCAAAGCCTATGTTTAGACTGAAGAAGTAGTGGCCATGACCTCATATCAGTTCCCTTGTCTAAAACTGTACCTTTGGAGGAGGAATAATTAGAAAGAAGAAGATTCATTGGGTACATGCCCTGTGCTTTCTAGTTCTCTAAAAGGTCCTGCAGGTCTTGCAGCAATAAGGTTCCTGTTTCTTCAGCTGAAACGTAATCCATGTTTTGCAACAAAGATCTCTGGGGCTTGCTGAGTCTTGTCCATATTTTTTTTCTAATCAGTGCTACAAACATAGGCATTTATGGCTAGAGGTTTGGTGAAATTATGATGCAATTAATTAGACAGAAGCTCTGTGATGTTGAAATCGTGCACTTTGACCACTTGGAGCAAGTCAGAATTTATAGAAGATTGCCTTTTGTATTGTTTATATGTAAATATAGTTGTTACTGCAGATTGAAAACCTACACTAAAAGGCAGTTTATGGGATCTGAGTTGAGTTTTTTCAGTATTTTCTGTTACTGTTGTTCTTGCTTACAGATTAGAGATGGCTGTCTGATGGCTGTCTGATGGCTGTCTCACTGTCCTCAGATGCTGATGCTGTCTGAAGACCTATCTGTTTGTGAAGCATTTGAAATGTACTGTATTGCACTTTTGGTGTGTCTTATTTCTGTATTGTGCATCTTTCTTTCAAGGTACCAGCACTGATTCTTGTATCTGGCAGTGTCTTAGTGTCTCTGTTGGAGGTCATTTTGGGTAAAAGCATCTGCTAAATGCTGTAAATGTAAATTTTTGTAGCCTTGATTTTTCTGTGAAAATATCAACTGCACTAACTGAACCACAGTACACAAGCAGACATCACGCTTGGGAAAGGAAAGTGTGTTATAAACACAAATGAGTTGCTTTTCTTCTGTTGAATCAAGCGAACACAGAAATTTACCTGCCTTCTTCCTTTTGCGCATGTTGTGTGCAGCCAGACTGGCTCTGCTCAGTTCCTGATAATTAAGACATGTTGAGACTGGAAAGGCTGTGGTCTGTTTTCTTTTATTTAGAAATCCTTTACAATGAAACCATAATGCATAGTTTACACACTTGGCAATAAAAGACAATGATGGCCTCACTTACTGTTTATAAATTCAGCTATAAAAGTTAATGGCAAGCTTGGCACTTATGGAGGTTCTTGTGGCTCTTTTCGAAATAAATCGTATGTAGGCTTACAGATGATATGACAAGTTAATTGAATGAATCTGTGCTTTCTTAATGTTTTCTTTTCTCTTTATTTTTCTCTCTGTAGGCGTGCTGTCACTTCCGGCCCACTTCAGTCCGTACACAGAGGGCCAGCAGGCTGGGGTTGAGAGCAGAGAGGATGCGTACGCCCAACTGGAGCTCCGTACCCTGGAGCAGTCTCTACTGGCCACCTGCGTGGGCAGCATTTCTGAACTGAGTGAGTCTTTCTCTCTCCCTCTCTTTATCTATTTCTCTCCTAAACACAATAAAATGATTGATGCTATTCTACCATGACTTAATGGGATTATCTGCAGTTGATAAAAGTCGCTCTTCATGTTCTGTATTTGCACACACACATTCGTCCAAGGCAGTGGTGTAGAAAGTACCATGCAGCTGACAGAACAAAGGGTTCATCCAGGATTTCCTCTGAGGAGCACTGAAAAGAATTTCTGAGTGCATTTCCCTCAGCTCAGTGTTTCTTCACATTTCCCCTTTCGTGCTCCTTGTCTCTCTGATGTTTTGAAAAACTGGGCCATCCTGACAGTGGGGAGTTGGAAGCAAACTTGTGGAAAAAGTCTATTAACATACAATACATGTCTGTAAAGCTATTCTCCATGAGTGAGAAAAACGAAATCATGTTTATTCATATATGCACAAGTTGAGTGCACTTTCTGCTGGTGAATGTATCAGCGTGCCAATAGCTGAGGCAAAGCAGAAATGAGCTCACACTAGGACTGCACAGATACAGGTTTGCTTGCTGTTATTTCAGCAGAGTGAATGTGGGAAAGGTGATAATGTGAATGTTATTTATCTTTCCAGGCAGATTAGCCCATTATCCCTCCCTCCTGGTAAACACTTCTTGTCTCAGTCCCTTAGGAGTGGGACAGGGAAGTGTTTGCTCTCTAAATATCAAGCTGGGTGAGATAAAAGAGAGAGAAAAAAGTGAGGGATGCTAGAACATGTGGGGAAAAACTCAGTCTCCCTTGGAGTCTCAGACCCCACATGTCATTTGCATAAAGGCCTCAGGTAAAAGGCTGCTCTTTCACACTCATTTGAGATAAACCTTTTCTACCAACATGATTTTCAAATTTATTAAAGGTGACTCAACAGCACTGGCCTTAGATCAGTGTGAAAGGACATCCTGCACAGCTGGATATCTATTAGAGGATGTGAGTGGGGGTTAATATGTTCCCACTATCTTTTTTTTAGGCCCCGCACCATTCTCTTCTGGCCCGATAGAGCCCTAGACATGTCTGGCCTGGAGAGAGATCTGTGATGTCTGCTCAGCATGTGCTGAAGTTTTAGGTTTCTTGGTAGTGCTGAGCTGGGGCCATTGTCTTTGTCCCCAAGTCTTACGTATTGTGTAACATCATGATAAATCAAGGCATCTTCACTGTACTCATATATTATCATAATACTTTACTTTTTATGTTTGATCAGTAGGAACAGACTAAGAAACACTAGTGCCACATTTAAAAATACAAACACCATAAATACAAAGACATTTATTCAACTTTTTATTTTCTAATGAAACATGCAATTATTCAGTGATCTTTGAGAACTGACAGTATCTTGACAATGACAATGTGTCATGTGTCAATGTGATGTCATTTATCACAATAATGATATTGCTGTATTGCCCTAACCCTAACTGTGATTACATGTTACCTTATTTCTGTATTGTTTTACGGGTTTAAAGCTGGTTATACATACTACTTACTTATACTTGCTGCATTCAAATGTCAACTAAGAACAGAAAGCTGAGGCTGCAATTGGCACACAACCACCAGAACTGGACAGTTGAAGACTTAAAAAATGTAGCCTGGTCTGTTGTGTGTTGATTTCTCCTGAGGCACGCAGATGGTAGGGTCAGAGTTTGGCACCATCGGCATGAATCTATGGACCCAACTTGCCTTGTGTCAATAGTCCAGGCTGGTGCAGGTGGTGTAATGTTTTCTTGGCACATTTTGGGCCTGTTAATACCAATCATCACCACTTTAATGCCACAACCTATTGTTGCACGTACATCTCTTCATGGCCACAGTTTACCCATCTTCTAATGGCTGCTTCCAGTATGATAATGTACCATGTCACAAACCAAAACTCAGCTTTTGTTCTTTAGTGGCCTTCCCAGTCACTGGCTCTGAATCTAATAGAACCCCTTTGGGATGTGGTACAATGTGGAGAGTCATAGCATAGTATAAAAAGTATATATTTTTGTACTGGGAAACTTTTTTCTGCTATTAAGTAGTGGATGGAGCAATGGGAATTCCAAAATTAATGGTCATACCCTGATTTTTAAGATAAATCCAATGAACATACACACGCTATGTTTATGTATAAACAGAATGAAATCGTGTTTAGTGTTTGGAGTTCAGTGGCCTAGAAACATACAGTGCTTCACTATATAATCAAATCTGTAACATAACAGAATCATTTGAAGTCTAACTCTCTGTTCATGGGTAGTTCATCATTTCGACAGTATTTTTCCCCACTTTACATTAGTTAACATATGAAAATATGATATTTCCTCGGTGATGAAGGCTTTCTCTGTTGACCAGCTCTTCCTCCTCTTGGCCGCCCTACCTGCCTGTATGTGTGTTTACCCTGCATGCCACAGAGCTGGTTGGGGCACAAGGCGGGAAGTAGGTCGGGCTTGCTGATGGAAGGAGTAAATTTCCTCCTGCAAATGTCTGGACACTCCTCTGTTTGTACCTCTACACAAGAGCACGTTCATTAGAGGGAATAGTCCAGTAGAGTGTTTGCAGAGTCAGTGAGTTTGAGTGAGAGCGCTCTTTGTGCTGACTTCAGGGAGACCACTGGGCTGCATTGGCACCCTCTCCACACACACTCAGGGCAGTGCAGGCCAGCATTGCCCAGGGGAATGCACAGACAGTGGGCCATCTGTACAGCCTCAGCTGCCCTGAAGCCCTGCACCTAAAAAGGCCATCCTAGAATCCAGCTTTCCACCACTTTCACACAAGTATGTCATGATTTGACCCTGTATTTCCTTTATCTGTTCTGTTACTCAGACGTTTTGGAGTGTTTAGACCTACTCTTAGTTTGAGAGTGCTTACAGAAATTGGAGCATTGGTATGTGTAGGAGTGGGCAATATGGCAAAAATATGAAATAACAATACTTAGACATTTTCAAAATACACAGTACTCATCACATTATATTATAAATATTGTGATATTTTGTCTGTGTATCAAAATAAATAATGTGAGATGCCTTGCATTTCAGTGTTTTTTTTCTCTGAGCCAGAAAATATTTTATTTAATATGCTCAGACCAACATAGCTGATCTCTCTGAGGGTATAGGCAACAGCAGCAAAGCCCAGCTTTCCATCTGTGGCCTGAATTCCTTCAAGACCCCTTCCAGGTCTTGGCAGGATACAAAGAAGCCCCTTTTAGCTACAAGTGGGGTCTTCAGCTCTTAATGGAGGGTCCCTCCCACTCAAAACCCACTCTGGTTAGAAATTAACCCATGGGGTAATTACCTCAAATGAGCGTTACTTGTTTCCACAAATTGACCAGCCTACAGTGTGTGTGCCTTTATGGTCTACCATCATCCTGCGTGGATTACTACCGGTGTTTAGCTGTATAATTCTAGTGCTCACTCATTGCTTCTTTTGTGACCATTTGGTGTTTTGTTTCTTGGGCTCTGATTGTGTTTTTCTCTGTAATGGAGGGAGAGGCAAGGGGTGTTTCATCTCCTCCCTCCATCTGTCCTTAACCAGGTCCTGATTTACTGTTCATAAGGGTGTCCTGCAGAGCTCAGGTCTGCAGAAAAACACATTAAGTGGCAGGGAACAGGCCAAATAACCCCTCTCATGTTTCTATACTTGAGTATCTGTAGATTCCTCTAACGCTAACGCACAACAGTGAATGTGGGTGTTTCTAAGCAGGGTAAGAAAAGGAAATTGGGGGTTTATTGTTGGTGCTGCAGCTGAAATTCTGGGAGAAAAATACTTTTACATATAATATTGTTGTGTGCTTTGTTGATGTAGCTTATGATGAAGTAACTTCATAGCATTAGAGTGTGGAGGACACTGCTGTGGTACTGTCTTAGGTTTCATGTAGTGCTTATTGTTTCAGTTCTGATTTGATTTTGTGGTTAATTTTACATACTTCACCTATGCAACGTGATGTAATCTAGAAAATTGGTGGGGTGGGAGATGACGCAACAGGAATGCAAACTCGTAACCTTATTTGGATTGCTTCTTCTTTATCTAATCACTGTGCTCCAGAAGTTACGCAATTGTAGAGGGCCATTCCAGGTTTAGCATCTAGTCAGTTAAAGAAATCAGGGTTTCCTGTAAATACTGGTTTTAGACCAGAAAAAAGTCTGGCAAATGTCTTTTAAAAATGATTTTAGGGCATAAATGCCCTATCAATGTCTCGGAAATTGTTTAAATATACCAGTTTAAATGTAACCAATACCTGAATCATTTATACGTTAATAAAGCATGCTCTGATTAAGTGTTGTGAACTGTGAGAGCCTGCCTTGCCACTTCAGATTTGACTGTAAGTTGGCAGTAGTCATGAAGACATGCAGTAATCAAAAGTATGTTTTCACTAGCAAAGTATTTTTTTCAGATTATAGAATTTTTATGTTAGCTGTTTGAAAATATGCAATAGACATACAAGGTAACAACCTGGTAGGCTTTATTGTTCAATGTGGCCAAGAACCAGCATTGTTTTTGCATAAGGTGTTGTGGTGGGCGATGAATATCTTTGCCTACAAATGGCACATTTCATTTATTCGGAAACAACGATGCTTACTTTTCTTCACGGTGTGCCTTCTGAATTCTGTTTGTCAGGTGATCTGGTGTCTCGGGCCATGCACCACATGCAGCGTCTGAGCTCTGTGCGACCCGGACTCAGTCCAGCCCGCCACACCCGCCAGCAGCCTGTCTCCTGGTCTCCTGATGCCCTCCACACGCTGTACTACTTCTTACGCTGTCCTCAGATGGAGTCAATGGAGAACCCCAACCTGGACCCACCTAGGATGGCCCTAAGCAAAGAGAGGTGAGGCCCAAAGCACCTTGTTTGTCAAGCCTGCAGTTTCCAGCTTCTAATCCACACTAATTAGCACCTGATGGCCCATTCATATGTATGTAACATCTGAGAAATGCCATAGCCTGAAGGAGCTGTAAGATGCAGTAATGAAATGGTGGAGCTGTAAAGACCTCTTCAAATCCTCTTCTTAGTGCCTTTGTTGTGGGAGTTCATTAAATTACGAACTTAGTGGGTTTCTTTCCAAGCTGTTTTAATTCAAGGTAGAATCACTGAGCTCTCTGGGAGGAATGTAATATATATAGGATATCTACTACACTGTTAAAAATAAATGTGTCAAAAAAGAGTTCTTTGGAGCTATGCCATAAAAGAACCACTTTTGGTTCCCTAAAGAACCTTTTAATTGAGTGGTTTCAACTGAGTTTTATAAAAATGCATCCATTGAAAGCTTTATAATGAACCAAAAGTGGAGTGTACAGAAAGGTGAACTTAACAATTTAAATTTAACACTTTAGTAATTTCTTTACACCAAGTAAAAGACCAGTTACAGCAACAGTCACTGTGATCCTTCACATAGTTTCTTTGGAAATGAGCTTTAAGGTTTTTAGGGCTTACAGAAGAGGAAAGAAGAGAAACAATAGGATTAAGACTTTACTTTCAGGCCAAGAAGCGAGCCCTGGAGCACATTTCTTCCTATCAGAACTCTATATTTTTACTTGAGGGGAGCAGCAGGAGGTTCTCATCTCTACTCACAATGAGAAGAGCTTTCTCCAAAAAGATGGGATTAACCTGTCAGGAACAATAGCTCTAATGGAGCCAGAGCTTAATGACCACAGATTACTGCAAAAGGGAGATTCCAGATGGACCGTTCTGGTGTACATTTCGTGTCATTTGTGCCTAACCCTAAACCCTAGCATTTACCCTAACTCTAATTACAAACCTTAACACTAAAGCTCATGCTCATGCCAGACCTAAGTTTAAACGGAAATGCTAAAATAGCCTGTATACGTTCACCCTTCACAGCACACTGGTATGTGTGATATAGCCAGCTGCTTGATACCTGAGTGCTCCAAACTCCATACGATCCTTTGATGGTCATGTTGATGGCTGTAGGTCTTTGCCTGATGTTTGTTAACGAATGTGAGGCACAAACCTTCTCCAAATGTTTAGATAGCGTATACACACATGTATGATAATTGAGCTGCGGCCAGATCTGAAGCCATGATGGCTACAGCTGGCCTGCATGCTGCGCAAAAACCTCAACCTAAATAACAAACATGAGTGGAAAACAACAAAGGTGCTCCACTAGCTCACTTCAAAGAGACAGCGCAATAGGAACTCACCCTGCCATCTTCACGATAACACCACCACTACCACCACCCGAGTTTTACAGTGTAGCTGGAGTGTGTGTGTGGCAGTGGAATGGGTTACAGGTGGTACCTCAGCCCTGGCAGTGATTAAACTTAAGGACCCACTCCTGATTCAAGATCCCCTCTGTGGGCCTCCAATTATTGAAAAGTCTATTAAACCTTTGTTTGAAACTCAAACCGCGGCTCACTTTGGCAGACTGTGTGGTCTTAACACAGATCAGTAATTGTAAAGGCACTAGTGAGGGCTCCTATCATAGGCAGAGGTTATTGCTACACAGGGTTGATTTACAACACCTCAGGGCACCCTGCATGTCTGGTAACGAGGGTGGGTTGGGGGTGGAGAGAGAGAGAGAGAGAGGAAAAGAGAAAGGGACTAAGATAGAGGGGTCAGAAGGGTGAAGCTGTGCTAAGCATCAATGGAAGTTTCAGATAGAGGGAGGTCAAAAAATAAGCTGAAATAAATAGATGACACACTAATCATGTGTCTGCATTCAGAGACAGCTCATACATGCTGACTGCAGAGTGTCAAGACACTTACTAAAGCAGCTGTGAGGAAAACACAGGATTTGTGCATATGGGAGTTGGCCATTTTGAATAAAGCAGTTACAGTAAAAGAGTAATTAACCAGGCCTCTTGCTTTAGGAGGAACCACATGCAAGGTAGAATGAAAGAAAAGTAGTAAAATATTTGAAGTGAGTGGGAGTTTGATATTGGAACTTTACTGTACATGTGGTGGAAAAAAGATGAAGGAGCAGATTCAGCTGCACTGTTTTTGGAATGTTACAACCAAGTACCATAATAAGCTTTCTTCTTTAAGAGACAGGAGAAAATCAAACTCCACTCTTGCTCCACAGGTGTTTCTGTCCATCTTTCCACTGTGAGAAGACAGCTCAGCATTAGAGGTGTGAAAGTATGTGTAGCTGTCGAGGAGCTGTTACTGAGAAAAGGAATGCTTGCACATCAAACAAAGAAGCTGCTTTGTGTTCTCAGAACAATGGACTGACCATCCCAGTCCAGACCTTAATATCATTGAATTTGTTGGAAACTTTTGGATCAAGAGAAGCAGAAAATGTAAACGACTTTTAAGACTGAACTTTGGAGGTGTAGAAGAAAAATCTGCATATTTCTATGAAAAACCAAAGCTGCAATATTGGCAAAGGGTGGATGCACTGAATACTGAAAAAAATATTACTTAGTTATTGAGGCTTCTCTGTAATTTTAAATATGGTTTTTGCTTTTTTCATGATGCTGAAAAATGAATAACTAAATGGTCATTTTGACTGTAAAATAAGGATGTCTCACTTTTGAACACCTGATTTATTGGTATAAATTCTCAGGCTATTTTCAAATCTAAAAAGAAATATTTTATGCATTATTTTTAATGTCTTCTGTACACTGCATAAATAGTTCCTCCTGTGACATTTGTGCATTAGGTATTTGTTTAAAATGATTCAGAATCATAAAATAATTGTGGTGAAATCTGAGATTTCATGATGTGTTGAATCATTTCCTGAAGGAAATTTACACCGCCCTACCGTACGCTTTGTGTCCAGTTTTAACTTTGAAAAAAAACAGTCTGAGCTTCAGGAGTTCTGTGAAACAGTAACTGAAGAAGTAATCATGACTCTTTGCCAGACCACATTGTGCCACAAGGTGGAGCGAGCTGCGGTATGCACTCAAAAAACTCCCTTCCTCAAGTGTGACTCGCAGCCGCTACAGCACGTTCCTAAACGTCCATGCAGTCAGGAGGCAGTCAGGCCGTGTGGTCTGTGTAGCCCATGTCTAATCACAGTCACACATCTCGAGTGTGACCTGGTCACAACAAGACCCCATTACATGTCTCTGCACAGCACGGGCTAATTAGCACTGCATGCTCTCCGGTTTCACCGCGCCCAGCCTGGCAGGGCTTTGATGTGGTCCTGGCCCCACTCAGGTTTCGGCTCGAAGGCTACGGACTGAACTTGAGCCCTTGAATCAGATGCAGGGGTCACTGTCATAGCGTGACCCAGGGGCCAGACAAATGAGAGCGAGAGGGGCCTGGACACACTGTGTACACTGTGTGGCCCTCTGGCAAACGAACAAAGCAAAGGGTTATAAACGTTTAGAAGGGGTCGGATTTCATACTCCTTTGGTTTCATTCAGATAAGAACCGGGTCACAGGAGTGGGCTATCTGTCAAAAGTGTGCAGGGGGTGTGAGGAGGGTAAAAGTTGTAACTCAGCAGCTTTGTTGTAGAATAGTTGTTCCCAGGGTTGAGAGCTTTTGAAGGATCAATAATTGCATTCAGGGATGCATGGGAGTGCTATGGGAAATACACTTTGGCAGTGCGGCAGGACTTTTTTGGATGTTGTGATCTTTTGAATGCTATAGTACAGCCATCGCTGACTGTTTTCACTCAGAGAAGCTTTGGGATTGAAAAGTATTTCCCTCTCTGCTCACTTTTTCTCTCCTGCAGATAAATATACACAATCAAGTCTTTATGTGTTCTTGCAGATGGAGATCAAATTAGAAGTATTTTTAAAACATGTCCACTCACTTTGAGTCACGCATACATATTTCACATTTCTCAAATCAAATGTGAGGCTGACATGAAATTAAAATAAAATGCGAATATAAACATAGTAATATAAAGCATCACTGCATCAGCTTTTTGGACACATCGCTGCAGTCTGTTCATTTAAATAAGGGCTAAATATATTTTGTTCAGTTCTTGGAGTGTTTTGATGCTAAAAACAGCTCTTTGGCATTTTTCTTACAATCAGATCTTTTTTTCCCCAAGATCTAATATTAGCTCTCATCTGTCTGTGTTATGTTTTTTTTGTCTTTACTCTTGAGCATATTGTTCTGTGAATCGTTCTTGTGATTGTTGCGCATATTTACTTTGCTTAATGAGCACCTCATATCCCCCAGCCTGGCTCATTTGCATATGTCTCATTAGGCTGGCAGACTCTTGGTGGGCTGACTTTGTTTTACCATGTTCCTGCTGAGCTGTGTGCTCCCTAGGAGCAGCTATCACTGCGTCATCTCCCCTCCTGCTGCTGGAAAGCCCTGTCGGGAAAAGTGGAGCAGACAGGCAGGCCTAAGGCTCAGACTTAGTGAGAGTCAGGGAGGTTATACTCACCTGGTGACGAAAGACCAGTTTTGCTCTTAGCTCTTAAAGATCCAGGTTAGTATTTAAGCAGGCGAATGGGACAAATAAGCGGCTATGCGTTTAAGGTAGTAAACACTAAGATGAAATAAGCAGTGCTTAAAAGACTGCTTCACTCATAATATGGCTAACAGTCAGTAATGAGGCTTAGCTGATACTGTAAAGTTGCCCTGCTATACTAGATGAGCATCATTATTATTATATGTTTTATTATCAGCACCGTTTGGTTGAAGTATGTCTTTAAAGAGCTTTGAAGCTGTAGTGTGAAGCAGCAAGGTGACAACAGCTCCCTCTTCTGGTACGCAGATTCTACTGCTTTAATCCTACGCAGAGAGAGAAGAAGCTGAAAAGCGAAGGCAGAACCCTCACTTTGCATGTGAAAAACCTTCCAAATTCAGATAATTCCATTATGCCTGTACAACTTCATATTAAACATGGCATGTTTGTATACAGTTTGTTCTTCAAAATCTTCACTGTTGACACTATTTAAAATCACTTATTTTTGTAGTGGTTTTTTAGTAATTGCCTTCTTGGCTTTATTTTCTCTCTCCTGTCTCATCTCTTAAATGTAATGCAACCAGTAACACAATTAAATCCTTTTCTGTTTGCATAACAATCTTAGGAAAGACACACATGTAGAGTGCATTCATATGTCCGGGAGTGTCTGAACTGTGGAAAGAGTGTGAGCAGTAGCAGCTGTGGTTATCTCAGTGAGTTTATGGATGTGGCAGGGTGCTGAGAGACACAGCCCATTCTGCTGCAAGGAAAAGAACCATATTTGAAGCACAGTGCCGTGTTGTTTCAGATACATTAAGCCCAGTCTTGCACACCTTGATGCAGCTCCAAGAACCATAACATTTTGTGATGGAATCTACCAAAGGTTGTGGTACACAATAAGCAGGGACATGTCACTTGTAAGACGAGCATAGTGTCCACACTGAAACTGTGATTGTGGTTCTCTTTTTTCCCGTCCCAGGTTCTATTTATTTACTTCAGATTCTGACTTACCCCGATGTGTTTCCTGTGTCTCCTCTGCAGACCCTTCCTCCTGCTCCCACCCCTCATGGAGTGGATGCGGGTGGCCATCGTACACGCTGAGCATCGCCGCAGCCAATTGGTGGACAGCGACGATGTCCGACAGACAGCGCGCCAGCTCCTGCCTGGGCTGGACTGTGAGCCCAGGCTACTAAAGTAAGACTCACCTAATAAACTCCACCTGGCATTACTGCAATCGCTTACCTCTAGCGGCATTCATCAATCATCTGGAGATCTATGAGCCTAACCCTACACAAAAAGTTCAGATTCTAGTGTGTTACACTGGATCAGCTATGGGATTAGTTACTCATTTAAATATGGAATAAATATGTTTTTGCAGTTCTTGAAGTGTTTTAGTCCTAAAACATCTGTTTGGTTTTTATGTTCCAGTCAAACTTGTTTTTTAATGTTTAATATTAGTGCTCATCTGTATCTACCTGTTATGTTTTTTCTTTGCTTTTGAGTGTTCTTTTGGGAATTTTTCTCACATCCATTGTGCATATTTACTTTGCTTAATGAGCAATTCATTCCTGACAGTATGGCTCATCTTAAGGCCTGGAAATTTAGGCCTGGAGCAAATAATATTCAGATGCTCCTGAAGGCCTTGATTAACTGGATCAGGTGTGTTAGATTAGGACTGTAACTGATGCTGTTTCAAATGCTGTTTTAGTTCCTGGAACTAAACTTTGCAGGATGGTAGTTCTCCAACTGTAACAGAATCTGGCACCTCTGCTAGACTGTGACATTTTCTTTATATTGCTCCTCTATGAAAATTAAATAAGATGTGATAAAATTGTCACACTTTACACACTTTTTTTTAAAAGGGCTGTATTGGTAAATGGCATAGCATATGACCTCACTCCACTTGTGTTAGTTTTTACTGCATTGCTGTATCAAAAGTGAGCAAAGGCCATCTGCAAAGCCCTCAGACTTTATTAGCTGCTCCCACCCAGTTTTTAGCCCACAGACTGATGTCAGAACCTTGGCCTGACTCTTTATGATTTGTAACCTCTTGGGGAAAAATACACCACTCCTCCCATGAAACCATCATAAACCGGCTCCCACTCCTTACCGCCCTTCTTCCAGTTCCTCTTGCTTTTACTTGCCATCCTCTATTTTTTCCTTACTCCCCCTCATATTTTCTCACTTACTCTATCTTTCTCTGTTTTAATTGCCCACCCTTTCTTCCCTCTCTCCCCTTTCTCTCGCCAGGCCAGAATGCTGTTTTAGTTCCTTCAGAAGGCTGGATGCCAAGGCCGCCACTGATAAGTTCCAGCTGGACCTGGGCTTTCGCATGCTTAACTGTGGTCGTACTGATCTGATAGGCCAGGCCATCGAGCTGCTGGGGCCAGATGGGGTCAACAGCATGGATGATCAGGTACTACATAATCTCAGTGTTTAATCCAATCCATTGTTTAAAATGACATCATGATAATGTTGATTTTACATTCCCCTACTGACCTCTCTTACAGTAAGAAACGAAGCATGATGAACATGCCTATTTTTATGCATTTTTTTCCCTGTAGTATTATTGTATATATTTAGTGAAGGCGTCCTTGTTTATCTTTTTCCAATAATTGTCCAGTTCCAGTATTGTTACTTCTCTCTGATTATTTTATTAGTCATCACGATGATTAGCAGCTTACTCAATCATTTATATATATTCAATAGTGATAGCTCTCACAGCCCAAAAAACAACTAATAAACTGCTCCTTATACAAAATAAAACATTCATTATATAAGGCATTACTAGGGAGTATGTTTTGAGAAATCTGTTCTGAGACTATGGGAGAAAGTTAAGCTTTGTAAGTGTTTAACATTGAGCTTCCAGAATAATATTGATCTAATTTTAGCCAGATTTCAGACTATCCTCTTTCTTCTGCCGTGTGTATGTGATGTAGGGCATGACCCCGCTGATGTATGCCTGCGCAGCTGGAGACGAGGCTCTGGTCCAGATGTTGATCGACGCTGGAGCCAATCTGGACATAGCAGTAAGTACTAACCATCCATTCCAGCTGCTGGCTGAGACGAAGGCCTGCTGCTTTATGAAGACTGAAACTTAAAGCTCTGTGTCCATCCCACCCAGGTGCCGGTGTGCTCCCCTAAACACCCCTCTGTCCACCCTGACAGTCGCCACTGGGTGGCGCTCACGTTTGCGGTGCTGCATGGACACATCTCTGTAGTACAGGTAAGCCCAGTACATAAAAGACAGTTATCTAAATTGTGTTATAATAAATTTGACACTAATTATTGATTTATTGTAATACCCAAAAGAATTTTTTAAGTGTTTTAAATCTTTTGCCATGATGAAGGCCAGCTAGGCCAAAATGTTTGCAAGCACCACAGCCATTATTTAGCTTTTTCATGACTGATTGCTTTTCCAATTTTCTCTTCACAGTTTTTTGAGTTTAGTTAATGGCAAAGAAGCAGTTATGAGCAGGATATTTTTTGTATCTATTTTATAACCATACTGCTCTCTTTACTTTTTTTCGTTAGTGAAGCCTCATTTTATGTCTTTCTGTGCCTTTGTGAATATACTTCCATAACATTAAGATGTGTGTGTTCTCAGCTCCTCTTGGACGCTGGCGCAAGTGTGGAGGGAGCAGCAGTGCGTAACGGGCAGGAGAGCTGTGCAGACACCCCGCTGCAGCTGGCCTCTGCAGCAGGTGGGAACAAGAGTCTCATCATTACAACATTACCTTTACCTGCTCTGCTCACAGTAATTCTTTTTCCCACTGCATCATAGTCACACCCTCTGAACATACCAGAGTCTCCTGCATTATTGTTTGTCATATTGACAGTCAAAATGTCAGCCAGACCCAGGTTTATAGACATGTTGTTGTTTGTTATTTATTGGTAGAAGTTACTTGATTGACTGCAGAATTTATTAGTCAGTTGCTGTGGTGTGATCTAACAATGGTTTAAAAATCATTGCATTTTGTATCAGTTTCTTCTTGAAATTCGATGTCCAGCAGACATATTACTAACATAGACTTAAAGCAGTGCAATAAATTGCAAAGTGCTGCTTGTGCATCATGATAGGCAAAGAAATAAATAAACTTCAGGACTGACACAATAAAAATTATCTAGACGTTACATTCGACTCATACATGACAATGACACAAGTATAAATAGTACCATATATTTCAGTGACATACAATGTAAATTACTTTACCTAAAAAGCAGCCCTAACACAGGCTATTTCTGTCCAGAGTGTACTTGCATTGCTTCACTTTAAGACTGAGCTGATAAAAAACAATATAACAGCTTTTACTTTTCTTTTGTGTCCAGAGGAATTCGTTTATTTTGATAGCTAAGCACTCAAACAAGCACATGTACCACTGACCAATCACAGTGCAGCAGACTCAGCAGGGGTCATGTGTCTGTGCCAGAGAAGCTGGAGAAGCAGTGGGAAAACCATTACACTCTCTGCCCTGAGGCCTGTACACCTCTCTCTGCCACTCTGGCTCAAGCACTCAGCACTGGAGCTCATACCCTGCTATCCACTGCTGGCATGGCCTAAAATAGGCATATGATGACAGCCCATAGTCAAACTCTACAATGAATTAACCAATGGGAGCTGACTGAATTGGGTCAGGAACGTGTGTTTTGGGAATGTGTACTGTGTTGGTGTGTGTGTGCGCAGGGTGTGTATTCAGAGGGTGCGGTGAGGGGGTTCGTGCTTGATTTAAACTTTTTAAGTGTGTGGCTGACATTCCATGTTGGGATTTTAGAAAGGCCACACATAGCTGAATGGGAGAGCCACTGCAGCTGCACATGGGTTGTGATGAGAGATTTCTCACTCCTTGCTGTCTCTCTCCTATTGCCTTCTTTCTGTTGCTTCTGTCTCTCCTGCAGGGAATTATGAGATGGTGACTTTGTTGTTGGCGCGGGGCGCTGACCCCTTGCTGAAGGCTCATGAAGGAAACGTTCTTACGTCATCGCTCTATGAGGACATGAACTGCTTTAGTCACGCTGCTGCACATGGCCACAGGTACACCCTTACCCCCTAATGATTGCACACACACTCATAGGCAGTGTACACTTTTGCCCCCTGCTGATTAAACACACAATGAGTGTGCACTTGTACCCCCTGCTGATTACTGTGTCATGTATGTAGTCAGTCGCTAGGAACAATTCATGCACACTTGAATAAATCACTCTGTAAGACACTAGCTTTTACAGACTGGGAACAGATTACTCACTTGCACACTAAATGGAGTCATGGAATAAATTAAGTTTGGGGAAAGGACCATGTCGGAAGCCCCCTCGAACTGAAAGGCCTGTTCACACCAAGTATGAACATTTTCAGACAAAAAAAATTGTTTTTTAATGTAGTGGAAGTTTCACACCAAATCCAACATTTGTTTTGCAAACTCAAAAAAGATGGAATAGGAAGGGGAATTTGAATCCTTAAGCAGTATCAATGAGGAATTTATCATTTTATTTGAAGAACTGTAGCTAAAGATGAGGCACACTGGGTAAAAGATTCTACAAACAACAGGCATGAACAGACTAGGATCCACCTAGATAAAAAAAGGTTATAAACAGCCACCACTCCCAGCCTTTCAGCTATGATCCTTCAAAAAAATTTCTTTATCCTCTGCATTTTTTTTTAATTTAGCTTGTTGTGTAGGCATTTGTTTTTAAAACAGAAAATCAAGCTGAGTTTTGGACTCGATGTGAAAGATAGCGTTAATATGCATGTGTTCATTTTCAAAATATGCATTTCTTGTCTGTGAAAATCAGACTCGGTGTGAATACGCCTTAATGTCCCATAAAAGTCCCACCTATACCTTCTGTTTCCTGTTTTCCTACACAGTTTTTGCACCCCAACGCCACGCCATCTCCACCTTGTTCCTCAGTTCTGTCTGTCAGTGTTACCTCTGTTCATGAAAGGGGGCGTCTGGCCTTCTAGCTCAAAGCAGAAGCTGCCTAGGACTCCAGCCCAAATTCACAGAGCTCTCTCCCCTCCTTTAGTCATACAGTGTCTTCACATACTACCAGCATACCTTTGAAAGGAATGGTCCAAACCGGCAAACAGGTCCATGTGTGCAGTTCTAATCCCTGCAGCTCTAAAGCTGCTTATAAGCGCTCTCACAAGCAAACACCCTCACTAACACTCTGGTTTATACTGGATCTCAGCATTGACACTTCAGCTGTGACCTAACTTGTTACCAGTCTCAAGCAATCTGGTTAACCTGTAAACACAAACACACATGGGACTGTGGCCAGACTGTGTATATGACCAACTGTTTACTCTCCACAAGGCGGGAGGTGAACAGTAACTTAATTGTGCACAGGACGGCACATAACACAAATACATAGTATTAGTCCTTTTGATGTACTTATCTCACACAACACTGCAAATACAATTGTCTTTTTTATTACTGCTACTGTGCCAATGTGCAATGTGCCATTTCCTATAAATAAGCTCCTCCAAGCAGCAGTAGCTTCAGTAATAACCATAATAAAATCAGCGGCAGTGAAGAAAAAATACTCATGAAAAGGTACAGTATAATAAATAGATAAGGTAGCTGGACTCAAAAGTGCACTTATTAATGGCTGCAATAACTTGCCAAAGACATAGATTAATATGAAGCTGGCTGTGCAGACCCCTCACTCTGACTGTAGTATTTCATAACCATCACTCATCGTTACCATTCTAACTGCTTTTTCTTTTTTGTGGTTGTAGGAATGTACTGAGGAAGCTCCTCTCTCAGCCACAGCAGGTGAAGGAGGACGTGCTCTCTCTGGAGGAGATTTTAGCGGAGGGTGTGGAGAACGAGGCAGTGGGACCCAGCAGGAATGGAGATATCCCGCCCTCTCCCAACCCAAGCCTGGCCTCAGAGGGTGGACAGCCTCGCCTCTGCAAGGCTCGTATGAAGGCCCTTCAAGAGGCCTCTTTCTACAGCGCTGAGCATGGCTATCTGGACGTCACCATGGAGCTTCGGTCACTGGGTAGGTCAGCCATATCGTAAAGTCAGCATGTCCTGTGGAGTATGTTATCTGTCACTAAACCAAAACCAGAACAGACCAGGTAGAGTGACTCTGTGCTGCCCCCTGCAGGAGTGCCCTGGAAGCTGCATGTGTGGCTGGAGTCTCTGCGCAGCGCGCAGCTGCAGTCTAGAGCCGCTGTCACACTCTCTCTATTGCGAGATTTCACCTCCATCAGGGAGGAGGATTACTGCGAGGAGCTGCTCTCTGTAGGCCTGCCGCTCATGTTCAGCATCCTCAAGAGCAGCAAGGTACCAGCCACGAACACACTAACATTGCAGGCGCCACAAATAATGGAGAAGTGTCACATCTGGACTTAATTGGTACTAAATATTGTTGTCTGTCTCTATGTGCACAGAATGAAGCTATAATCCAGCAGTTAGGCTCCATCTTCAGTCACTGCTATGGACCTGCTCCCATTCCTCTCATTCCAGAGATGAAGCCCACTCTTTCAGCACAGCTCGGTAACAGAGATATCTATGTGGAATGATGACATTTTTAAGTGTTGCAGCATCAGAAAAAGAGTGCTTTTTATCTCTTTATACGTCATTATTTAATAGTATTACTTCACCAATTATGAATCAATCAGTTGTTCTCTGTCTCTGTTTACAGACCCTCACTTTCTGAATAACCAGGAGATGTCGGACGTGACATTTCTGGTGGAGGGGAAGCCGTTCTATGCTCACAGGGTTTTGCTGATTACAGCGTCTGAGAGGTAAGATGTGCCTCCTCGTAATGAAAAGGGAGCTGTTACAGGTGAAGAGAGGGATGATGAAAGAGATGCAATGAGGAGACAACTGATCTTGAATATGACCCTGCACATGACCATTGCACTGAGTGTTGTATAAATAAGCTGATTAAAAAGCTTACTTTTTGAGAAGTTTTGCTGTCTATTGTTTTTTTTCCATTTATGAGTATTCTGTATAAATGTACATACAAGCCTCTGGGTTAGGAAAAAACCATGTATACAAACCTGCACTCTCTGTCTAACCAGGTTTAAGTCCCTTCTGGGCTTCAACAGTTCTAATAGCTGTCAGCACTGCAAGGATATTGAGATCAGCGATGTGAAATACAACATTTTTCAGGTACCATTAGCTGCAAACGACTCTTCTTTGTCTCCTGCTTAACAGCTTTGTGCCGTTAGATTTGTAGCTAATCATTTTCACATATGTTATATCCCTAGGTGATGATGTCATACTTGTACTGCGGAGGGACAGAATCTCTGAAGCTGGCCATGCCGGCGTTGCTGGAGGTAAGAGAGACAAAGTTCAGGCCTGAACAGCTTGTAACACAAATATCTGAGCAGCAACAGAACTGATCTAAGGCTGGAAATCTGACAAGGCTCTTGCTGATAGCTGGCAAAAAAACAGAAATAGATGTTATTTGCAGTTTTCATGTGTGTACACTGTATGAAATGACTGATAAAACAATAAAATTGATGACCTGCTCTGAAAAGTAACATAATTGAGTGTTGATGTACATCACTGTGTGTGCTGAAGTAAGTGATTTGTGTTTGTTCTCTACTAGTTGCTGTCAGCGGCCAGTTTGTTCCAGTTGGCGGGACTTCAACGGCACTGTGAACAGCTGTGTGCTCAGAACATCGACCTGGACAATGCAGTCAGTATTTACAACACTGCCAAGGTAAACTGCACAGTCCACATCTACAACACAGCCAGAGTGAATAGGGCACAGATTTCTGGGGTCATCTCAGTGCTATGGGCTGTTTACACATGGTCACATAGTGACCATTGCAGTGTAGGAGTCAAATTCTTGTGTATCATTGAATATTCTTTACATTACAAAGAACTTACACACTACTTAATTATACCAATGAAAGTCTTTATACAGAGACATCTGTTCATATTGGACACTCAAACTGAGCTCACTGACCATGATAACAGCCTTGAAATCTCAAAAATAAAATTATAGGAAATGAAAGGAAAAAAAAAATGTTCTGAACTTTAATGCAATTTAATGCAACAAGATTTTATTGCAAGTAAGTTTGGATCAATTCTGTTTGTCCATTTGTCATTAAATGTTCACACAGTGAAAAGGGCAGCTGGTGGGATGACAGAAACTATATGTACAGTTGTATGCAAAAGGTCAGATTATGTGTTGTTGATTTTCTAAGTGAAAATACGTTCACATCCCCTACAGAGAACACACTTCTGCACAGTTTTTTTAAAGCACAATTACTGTTTATTTGCTGACTTAAAAAAAATAATGAAATATAAAATGTGACCTGTGCATAAGTGGGAACACATTTTTTTATTTTTATTTATTTATTTATTTATTTTGGTTGTTGTTTTTTCCGATATGTTAAACTCAACAAATAAATAAAAATTGTGCACTAAACTTAGCAGAAACATGTCATATTTGTTTGTTCCCTGTAGAGGGTATGGTAACTTATTTTGCCTTAGAAAATCAATAAAATATGTCATTTGAGCCGGTCTAAACCTTTGTATACGACTGTTTATCACTCACCTGTGAACAGCTATGTGCATTACATCTGTAAACTTATCTTTATACTTCAGGCACACGGGGCGGCGGAGCTGAGTGCATACTGTGAGGGCTACTTCCTCCAGAACATGAGTGAACTGCTGGAGAGAGAGAGCTTCCGGGGGCTACTCTGTGGACCCACGACACGCTCATGCCCGGGGAGAGACATGCTTCTGGAGGAACTGGAGGCTACGCTAACCTGCAGGCTCCGCTCACTCCACATCACCTCTCGCGTGTGAGACCACAGAGAAGCATGAGATGGAAAAATAAAGTTGGAGGTGGACAATGATGGGGAAGCCAAAGAGAGAAAACGAGAGGAGGAAGCAGTAAAAAATAAGAAAGTGGAAGAAGTAAGAGGAGCAGAGGAGGATGACGTGGTTGGACACAAAGAAGCTGGATGTGAACGTTGAGCAACGTGGGCAGAAATAACGACAACCGATTCATGCATTGGGAGCAACAATGGACAAAGCAAGACTGTACAAGTGTGTAAAGATACATATACTGAATGCAGTGGCATTCTTGTAGCTAAAGCTATCAAAATTTAGAAACCCTAAAATTGTGTCTGAGGAACAGCCCTTCCTCTATACTCTGACAAGCGTCCATTTTGTAAAGAGTTCATATGGTAGTAGTCGTGCTGGATGGAGTGGGAAAAATGAAATTTTTATAAGCTAAATTACAACAAATGTATTGGAGAAAAAAAAGGACATTTTCTATTTAAAATAATGTGAGATTATTTAAGTTCCCTTTTTATTGTGCTCTATGCCAAACAAATAAAATAATATAACATAATTTCTTTATTTTTTCAACTGTGAAAGCAACTTGATTTCCTCCATGGTTACTATGATCAGATAAAAGATTTTGCTTGTAAGAAGAATGCAGTGATATACTGACCAGTATGTACACATAGCACCACCTGCAGGTACTGAGATGTACTAAAGGGAGATTCTAGAATGAAATTAAAATTGGTAGCTGGATGACACTGCATCTCCAGTAAACAGCGATGAAACCACAGAGCATCTTACCTTAGCAAACCACTGCAGAATCAGTCAAGTCAGAGACCACTGTTTCAGTTATTTAATTTCCAGTCAAAACAGTCAGTAAGTACAAATTAGTCATTTTTCAGCATCAGAAAAAAGCAAAAGCATACATTTACCAGAAAGTTTCACTGAAGCATCAATATATATATATATATTCTCATTGTGTCCACACTTTGCCTTTATTACAGCTTCCTTTTTTTTCTAGAATCCTGTTTTCAGTTGTTTGAAGGAACCGGCCGGGATATTTTTTCACGTTTCCTGTAAACAACTCAAAAGTTCAGTCTTAGACGTTAATCAGTCCATGAACCCTTACTCTACATCTAACATGTTCAGTTTAAGAACCTTACTGCAAATTTTCCTTGTTTAAAGGAATTTCTATTATTTTTTTTTTATTATTATTTTTATTGTTTTTTTAATCTCTAGTTTGGAAAATGAAAGGAAATTTGCAGGACAGTTTGGGTCAATGTTATTGTCAGTGTTAGTGTCTCTTTGAAGGGGAACAAATGTCAGTGAGCGCTTTGGGAACAGCTTTAGTCGGGGGTAACTGGTTGGTTTTAGGACTGAAAAGATGGAAAAGTTAAGGTAGTAGTAGATGCTTAAAAGTAGAAAGTGGACAAAATTACTGATATTGATACTTTTGATATATTTAATTTTGAATTTTATTTGAATTTACACACACATACATATATATATATATATATATATATATATATATATATATATATATATATATATATATATACAAATATATCTTTTTGTTGATGGTATAATTTCTACTTAATGGCCATTTTGACTGGAAATTAAATGAAAGGTGGTCACTAACCTTTGCACAGTACAAGCAGGAAAACACACCACCAAAGGTAAAATGTCATCTTGAGAAACACACACACACAATGTGCGTGCACACACACGCACACACACACACACAAGGCTGCAGACATTCCTAGTAAGTGAATGATTTTATTGTTTTGTTTTTTCTTTTCTTTTTTCCGCTCTGAAATTGCTCACAGTTATGTTACAAGGGGTTTTACAGCTTCATGGTTTGTTCCTGCTCTGCGTGGCCAAAGTTAGTGTTTGTCTCGCTCATCGTCTGGAGTCACATGTTCAGTTGTACGCTACTGTATAAAATAGGATGGTTAACAACAGGTATTGCTTCATTTTTGTTCTGTCAAAAAAAGTCTTACTGTGTCTGTAAACTAGGGATCATAAGAAGGATGGAGCTTGTTTCCTTGTAGAGGTACATGGTACAGACAAGAGGAAGCATCTCAAAACTCAGTGCACTAAAGGACAGGGAAAGAGAGAAGGACAAAAATAGCGGCTAGAAGAACAGAGAAAAAAGAGGGGTGTTTGAGATCGTTTTTTCCCCTCGAGTAACACAGGGGAAGCAGTAAGAAGTAGAGAAGGGGGGTTTAACAATTACACTAGAGCCATGCAAAGGAAAGCCAATGTCTGGCATGCACACAGCAATAATACAAGTTAAAAGCAAAGAGCAGGAACCACCCACCCGCTTCACATCTGAAGAAGGCGAGATCAGTCTATTTACAAGAGAACTGATTCAAGAGGAGCTTTTTTTGTCTCAATCCATTGTACACACCCAATGAAACTGACAAATATCGAGAAGAAGCTCATTCCCTCTCGAAAGAGGCTAGACTACATTCTTAAATAACTGTTAAATTACCATTTTTAAACATATACTACATTTTTTTCCTCATTCAAAGCTAGGAAAGAAAGAAATACTGTCAATGTCCACAGAATTCTCTTAACTCGAGACATAAGAAAGCTCTTTTTTTCTTTTTTTTTCTTCTTCAAATGAACAAACCTGTGTCGCCTCGGTACATACAAGCACTCAAGGATGTAAATAAATAACATTCAATTAATCTAACCTCTTCCTCTCATGTACATAATCTGATGATAATAAATTAGGGTTCAGATATGAATAAATAAGGAAGAAAATACAAAAATATCCACGTATGTATTAAACACCTCTGTCCTCCGTGTTCTACTGCTGGTAATCAACATGAGATATGAACCATAAAACAGGCGGAATGATCATGGAGCTCTAGCTTCAGTGTAACGGCTACTCTGAAATAAGGTCAAGTGAAACAAAACGTTTCATAAATGAACAATAAAATACAAGGAAAAATGTCATGTGGCAGCACAAGATTGAATCTGAATCTACAACAGAACTAAACATTAGTATTACATCTAGACATTTTGTTATACATAAGAAGTGTATTGGTCTGTACAACAGAACAAATCATTCATTAGTATAATCTCATTAACCTCTACATCATTCCTCTTAATATTACCCCCCCACCCACCCCACCCCTACTGGAATAAGCATTTCAGTCCTTTGCAGCAGTGCTTTTAGATTGAACGAACCCAGCTCATTGAAAAGAAAGTCAACATTGAAAGGGAAAAAAAGGGCACAATACAATCTGTGAAGAGTTTCCATCCCCTTGGGACAATCCGTATGTCTTTTCTCCCCATTTCTCTTTTTTTTCTTTTTGAGTAAATCCCAGAGTTGTGCACGTCCATGTGTGTGTCTGTGTATGTGTGTGTTATGTGGTTCAGCAGGGTGAAGGCGTATCGCACAGTTCCTTGTGAGTACACGCTTGTGTGTCTAAGTTCGGACGAGGAAAGGGTGGACAGGTAGGAGAGGAGAGCGTGTGATCATGTGAGCGTGTGTTTTCCTCAAGAAGCAGCACGGAGGCATTTGGAGAGAGGGAAGGTGAGGAAGGATGAAGCGTCTGGTTTCCTCGGAAATTGGCTCGCGTCGAACAGCGCCCTCTGTCAACGAGTGTGGGTCAGTGCGGGCGCAGGTGGAGCAGGGGAGCGGGGGTGTTAATAGCTTTTCTGGATAATTCCTGGCAGCAAAAACAAGTCATCACACAGGTGAGGAGGGAAAGAAAGTGGGACACAAACGGAAAGACATGAAGAAAAAGGCTTCGCTACAAATGACGATGGCAGGGGGACCGGGCGGGGAAATGGAAAGGACAGAGCAGGGGGACGCATGGATGTGCTAAAATTTGTAAAACTCCTCTTCTCATGTGTTTATACAGTCGCTCCATCATACAAAAGCCTACTGGACAAGGATATTTACATCACTGCTGACAGTATGTACATCAGTGAAGCTGTCAGGTCTAAACAGAGCTTGACTGTATTATTTCTACAGGTCTATAATGGAGCGTCTTCTCTAGGGCTGTTCCTGCGTTCCAACAGAGGCCACCATCCTGGGACTGTCCCTGGCATTGCCCGCTGGGCACTTAGAGTCACTAGTGTCGGGCTCGTGCCGACGGGCGTTAGACGGGTGTCTGTTGGGCGTGCCAGGTGGATGAGGCACCTGGCCGTTCTTCTCGTCTGAAAAAAGTTGTTTAATTACGTCAAAGAAGTTACTCAAGGGGCTGCCTAGGTACACAGACGGGGAGAAAAAAAGGAAAAAGAGAGAGAGAAACAGAGAGGGAGAGAGAGGGAGAACAAACAAACAAATGAATAATGGGGTTCACACAAGGAGAAGTGGCCACAGAGAGAGCGAGGGAAAGAGAAGAGAGGAGAGGGGGAGAGGGCAAGACGGAGAGAATGAGAATAAGAGCACTCAGAGGCACTTCTGCAGCCAAATGATGGCCTTTTGCTCACACACTAACAGTATGAACATACTGTTCCCCGTGGCTGGTACCCAATTACCTTTCTGAGCACCTCAAACCGGGACTCTTATTTTTTAGAGTACAATATTAAAGGAATACTTCAGCATTTTTAATCTGATCACTGTGTGCCGCATCAGTAGCTCACAGTCAGTTACCACCAACAATGATTTCAATGCGGTTCTCTGTATTTGGAAAAGCACTGAAAATGTGTTTACTCAGAACACACTTACAATAGATGCTCACGAGCAGCTGCTGAATTCTGTGAATAAACGTTTGAATTATGTGACTATACAGTGGTGTGCAGAAGTGTGGGCACCCCTGGTAAAACTGCATGTTGTGTTAACTTCCTAAGTGAAAATTGTTAGCACACATAAGCACACAGCCCATCTACAGCCCATGTGTCAAACATAAGGCCTGTGGGCCAAGTGGCATAATCCTCTTCAGCCCACAAAATTATTTTCATTTTCTATTAATATTAGCCCATTTCTCCATGAGCTACACTACAGTTCCTAGCATGCAATGCAATATAATGCTCCCACCCCCCTCCCCAACAACAATCTGTGAGACAGCACCACAAAAAGAAAAAAAAAAAAAAAAAGATAAAGCCAGATGTATAGTTCAAGCGAATGGGCAGTGTTAAATAAGCTACTGTTCACTGGGGACATTTAAAGAGGTTTAACAGTTATCTGCAGCTAATGCAGTCTATTATTTTATATAAAACAACTTTTTATTTAAAAATTATTTTTTAATCATTCGAGTGTTCAGTGCCTATTTTTTGCCGTTGTAGTTTTGGCACATTTTGAAAAAACAATGGCTAGTTGGAGTCATGGCAAAATGTTAAGCAAAGATGAAATAGAAACACAGCTGCCCCACAGAATTGTTGAGATTTTTTAATATGGCCCTTTGAGTGGTGGAGTTTGACACCCCTGCTCTACAGGAACACACCTCTGAACATGTTAATACACAATTACTGTTTATTTGCTGAATTTAACATATTGGGGGGAAAAATAACCCATCAAATGTGGCCTGTGCAACAGTTATAGCACATTTTATGTTTAATTTTTTCCAATATGTTAACATCTTAAACTCTCAGGCTTATTACATACTAAGGCTTATTATTCAGTAACTACAGAGACTTCAATGTAAACATGTTGAGCTATTCTTAGGTTATATATGTGTGACTAAACTACAAAACTACAACTCTTGCACTCTAACAATGCTTGTCTTGGGCTGAGACACGCATGAAATTATGTCTTTCCAAGCTGTTTTTATAATCTTATCTTCAGTTTTCTCTGACTTTTGAACACTTGAGCAACACAGTAAAAAGGTTCTGGCTACTTTTGTTTTCTGGTCTCCATGCATCCACTCACAACACTTCATTGGTAACGCATATTCTTCCCTCTGGAAAACTAGTCTTCCTTCTGAGATAACAAATTATACAGACCCACAGCTTAATTTGCAAAACTGTGACTGAATTGTTCTACAAAAATATGTGCTTCACATAGGAACTGCCCAATGGCTTCCACTGTAAATATGTTTTGAGTAAATACATTTTCTGCTCTTTTCTAAGTGCACAGAAACAAATCAAAATTATTGATTGTGGTTATCGATGGTACAGTGCAGATGCACCAGATAAACACTGGGTTGAAAAACATTGGAGCATCCCTTTAACAGAGCTGCAGGCAGCCTCATAACCTCTTCATACAACCTTAATATGAGTATGTGCGTAAAGCAAGGCTTCCTCTCTAAATGTCTGCTCAGTATATTTTTCTCTCTCTCAGCACATTAGCAGGTGGATATTGTCTTTATCTAGGAGTTCTTTCCCTCCTCCAGAGACTCTGGGGGAATATAAAGTCATCCTTCCTAGCAAGCTCACCTGCACCACCAACCACTAGCCTGCAGCCTGAGGCAATTTATACCTGAATGAGAAAAGCTCCAATAGTGTACCACCGGGGTTAAGACTAAACATACCACCAAGCTCACACAAACACACACAAACACACACACACACACACACACACACACACACACACACACATACACACACATGCACCAGCTGCTCCTGAACCTGCAGCCATGAAGAAGCAGTGAGAGAAATGCCGCATGTATGCATGTATAACAGAGAGTTGTGGGCTGGACGTCCTCTAGAGGATGCTATTAGTTATTAACCTTTTGTCCTGGACCAGCTAAAATATTGAAATCTGTCAGTCTGAATCTGTCTATTCAGTGAAGGACAGTCCCCACCAGAGCTGCAATGCAGTCAGTTAATATAAAAACTCATGTCACAGAACTTTTGTTATTAGGTACCTAATATCTTTATATGACTTGGGACCACATCTACATGCACAACCTACATACTGTATACAATGTGGTGAAAGAATACATGTCAGGAGTTATAAGCATGCACACCTGTGCTTTAATAGTTTATGAGTAAGTACTTCAAGGTGTGCTTTGTGAACATTTGAAAGAATTGTGCTTTAAACTGTAGGGTGATTTTAAGGGATGTGCACTGTAAACCAGCGGTGCTTCATACAGGTGAAACACATTGTGGATTGAAAGGAAAATTCCAATGTTTCAGTGTTATAAATTCCAACTAAGATCAAACACAACATCGTGTAGGCTTCTAAAGGGCGCAATAAAAAAGAGACTATATTGCTTTTAGGACCTCTAATGCAGCAACTCTATTCTCCCCTCATGCTATTACTTCTACTGTCTCCTACAGTAAGATTTGATGCAGAAAGACTGTAAACTTAAAGCTCAGCTGGAAGCAGCAGCTACACACTCATTGGAATACTGTGGGGAGTCATAAAAAATGTATTTCTTAAAGGTGCACTGAATTTGTAGATCACAGCTTGTGCACAGTGACCTTCTGGTGGATCTGGATTTGGAATTTACAAAAGTCCTGTCATCATGAATCAGCCCTAAATCATGCTCCCACCTTTTCAGGAACAGCAACACCGACAACTGAAGTGAGAACAGACAGAATATTGGCTGTCCAGCTAATCAGTAAATAACAATTCATACAAATAAAGAAAGAAAGAAAGAAATCACACTTTTGCTTAAGGATGTGATGCAGCTGAACTGTTTGGTTTCAGCTTTAAGCATAATACAGTTCTATGTCCTGTGGGGGTCTATGGGACAGAGGTTTTTGTAACCTATCTTACTTAAGAAACAAGAATTTAACATAAAAAATTAAAATACTGAAACATGGAGCATGGAATTTCCTTTTTGAAGTGCTCTGTGAGGTGCAAGTTCTGAGATAACAGAGGTCTTACCACACTTTGACTTTGAGATTTTGGCTGTTTTTCCAGTGCACTGCGGGTTCTCTGGGTTCACAGGAGAGGGAGAATGGATGAGTGACTGAAAAATCTTACCTCAATGAAAATGGGACAATCAAGGGTGCCAAGAACTCAGAAGACCACTGGGTAATACTTCTCTTTACGCATGGTTTGCAAAATGCACATCGATGTGCAACAGTTTCAGGAATATACTGAACAGCAGGGCTGCACTGGCCGTGAATTCTTAAGGCAGATTCCGATTTCTTTACAGCCACGCTGACCGATTACAGCAATAATTTGACTGACTGCTGATTTTATGTTGTGAGCAAAAAATCTGCCGATTCTGATCTTGGCTGACTCTGATTGTGCATCCCTACTGAATATGGCACATGTGAAATATAATTTAATGAAAATGTTTAGTTTTTTCAGTACACAGCGTTACATAGACCATAAAAACACATGATTGAAGGGGTCTAATTATGTGATCATTTTGGCTCTTAACCATTCAAAAGTGGAACAAATTAGTTGTCACCACATGACATTAGTCCGAACAGATGTTTACATTTGGATGAGACTGAGGATCATTGGGCTCAATTTTCAAGAACTAAAGTGGAAGAATCTCATTCTCTTGGAATGCTCTTCTAAAAGCTAATATAAACTCTGGAGATATTTAAAAACTTCATTTGCATGTGTAAACACACACACACACACACGCACACACACGCACACACACGCGCACACACGCGCACATATTTGCACGCAACTGTCATCTTTGTATCTATTTGGTTGCTTGAATAACTGTCAAAACCCAGAAGGCGAGTTTGTGTGGCAGAGCAGCACTCTGGATCTCCTCTGAACACACATCTATACGAGCTTGCGTTCTACAGGCTCTGAGCTGCTCCATACTGAGTGAAGAGGCGAGGGGGGGTAGAGGCAGGGAAGGGCTTGACAGAGAGAGAGGGAGTGAGGAAGGAAGAGAGCAAAGGAAGAACAGAGAATAGGAAAAAGAAAGCAAGATAAAAGCAGAAGGGGGGTGGAGAGAGAGAAAGGACAGGGATGTGGGGTGCAGCAGGTGTGACACATTGAGTGAGTGGAGATGGGTATACGCTCCAGCCTGGTGCTTCCCCCTCCCTGAAATCACAGCAGACCACCTGAGTCACACTGTTACTGCTCTACTGAGACCCCTGCAACAGCAGAACCTCTTACACCATCTCAGATTACTGTTTTGTTTAGTTTTTTTCACTAATTTGATTTTATGAAGGATTATTCAACTCTGAGCCACATGTGGTTTACCAGCGGTTGCCAATCCCAGCCCTGGGGACCCCCTGCATCTTTAAGATTTTTCCTAAGAGAGTTTTGCTCTAACACTCATGAGCCAACACATGAGGGGCTTAGTTAATGAGTTAAATCAGGTGTGCTAGATGAAGGAAAACAAAAGCTGCACTTCAGAAGCTAGGCTGCAGTCTAGGTGGGCTGCAGTCATAGACCACTACATCACTGAAGGCTGTCCCAATCAGAAGGATCCTTCAAATACAGTCGAGAAATGCAGACTGCTTTCTGACAGTTTTAGAGAATGCTCAGTCTTCATTCACATCAACAATATTTTCTCAATTCAAATTTCACATTAACTTCTTTTGAACAACGTAACAAAGCAGACTTAATACACCGTCCCAATTTTGCATTATGTAATACAAACAAGGAGAGTTCATAGGACAGTGCCACCAAGGACACACCTTTCTTGGCTGCAGTCTAGCTTTTGGAAAGCAGCTAAATTGTGCAGAGCATGGGGCTACCACAGTGGTAGACATTTGGTCAAATCACCAAAAACAAATACATTTGCATACAGCACTGTGGAAAAGTCTAAGGAAGCCAAGCAATTTGTTTAAAACCATTTATCGGAATGGTTTTAAACAAATAAGGAAAAAGGTAGGAAATAAGTCTACTTTTGCTTGTAAACCCACCATAACATTAACGTAAATGCAAACTAACATCACTGCAGTAAAAAGTAAAAAACACTTCTTGTTTTCAAAAAGAGAAGCTGGCATCTTGTGAGCTTGTTAAAGTTCAGATTTCTTCTCAATCCACCCACCGTCATATGGATTTGTTAAATTCCATTACCAGCACAACTGAGCATTGATTAGTCAAACCAGGTATTGGATGATAACTATACTTGTATATTATTTATGTTTACACTTTCTGCCCACATAATGATCCTTTTAAATATGATTTTTTCAGGTGCCTAAGACTTTTCCACAGTACTCTATACCTGTCTACAACAGTTTAGCTCCGCTCAAAGAAGTTATAACGAAGGTTGCATTTTGAATGAGGTATAAAATGGAGCAAATTATTTTGCATTATGGTCCATCAAACTGCACAGATGCTATAAGTGGGCTAAAAGAGAAATAATAAAAAACAAGAATGGACAAAAATGTATGATATGGGCCCTTTAAACAAACTAACTACTGGTAATTGAATTATGAGGACTCAGCTGCTGTTGTAGGGCCTGTTTTGGCTCAGTAGGGGGAGCTGTTATCAAGGAGGTGTGCAGAACGCAGGCTTGCAGCAAGCGGCAGTGAGTAGGAAGGAAAGACATGCATAGAAGAGGGACAAAGACACTTCTCTTTCTTTTCTCCTTTTCCATCTCAATCCTCTAAATAGAGCATTAAGGGCAGCACTTTGGGACATTTTGTCTCTCTAAAAGCTATTTTTTCATAAACCCACCAAATGAGGCAATTGTTCCTTAATTACTGCCATTATATTAACCTTTATTGATGATTATGGGAATAAAACGCTCCCATGAAAGACTGATCAGATCACTCGGCAGTGGGTCTGTGTAAGCGCCCGTTTAATTCTATTCTCTGGCTCTGCGTCTTCATGCAGAGTCTGATCAATGCATGTTGGGGTAAATAATGGTAGTGGAGGGGCGGGGCAGTGTGTTGGGGGAGGGGGGTATCCCCCTCTCTCTGAGTGGCATCAGGAGCTCTGGTGTGGATCTGCCGTGCTATGAAGTGGTGCATAGTGGGGTGGGGAGGGGGGTACACGCATGCAGAAGATGGGGGAGAGAGGTGCGTGAAGGTGGGGGGGTTTTACTCACCAGCCAGCTGCTGGACCCCTGGTTGGTCATGTGTGCTTAACAACTGTGTCTGGATTGTCTCCACCACTCGCTTAAAGCGCCGGCTTGGACCTGCAACCACATCAGGTTTAAATTTCTTAAACTGCAGGCTTTTTATTCAATTATTTATATTTACACTAAATGTTATACAGATTACTAAACCAACCGGACAATTAAGATTAATTACCCAGTTGTTAATCTTAAGGTGTACAATCCAGAAACTATCAATTATGTAGTTATGAGAGCGTAGAATTGTAGAGTGGACCCATATGCAGGTCCTCACAGTTAACACAGTGAAGTGAAGAAATGTGATGTCAGCTGGGCCTGCCATGCTCAACCTCATAGCACAGAGAACAGCAGCAGCTGCAAGACAGTAAAGCATCCTGATCTTTCACTACTGTCTACCTGAAACAGGAACCTGACTACACAGTCCATAAGGTTAGATCACAACCGCTGCCTGTAGAGTCTCTCAAAGCCATATTTGATATAATGGCTAAAATGAGAAACAATAATAATCGATTAGCTTGTAAAATAATGTGTTTCTATGAGAACAGTCTGACTAATGGTGCTTCCTTTGTTTTTCCTCTGCTTATAATTGCTTGTGAGAGTGCGACAGAAACTTGATGTAATTTGCAGCGGTGATAATTAGAGTGTGGAGCTTATATTAGCACACTGCCTGTTAGATCACACCGTGGTGGAGAGTAAAAAGCCTTTTACAGAGTACCTAGCACATCCCTCTCCCTCGTTCTCTTTCTGTAGATCTATCTCTCCTTCACTGTCACAGTGGATCTCTCTCTCTTGCTCTCTTTCTGTAGGTATATATCTCCTTCACTATCTCCATGGGTCTCTCTCTCTCGCTTCCCCTTCCTCACTTTCTCCCTCTCTCTCTTTCTCTCTGCAGGTCTCTTTTCCTCTCTCTATCATTCTCTTGCACTCTCTTTCTGTGTAGGTCTCTTCCTCTTGCTCTAATCTCTGTAGGTCTTTCTCTCCCTATAATTGCAGGTCACTCACTCACTCAAATTCAGTCACTCACTCACTCAACTTCTGTCATTCACTCACTTTCTCAGTCACTCACTCAAATTCTGTCACTCACTCACTCACTTTCTCACTCACTCACTCAATTTCAGTCACTCAAATTCTGTCACTCACTCAATTTCAGTCCCTCATTCAATTTCAGTCACTCACTCACTCAAATTCTGTCACTCACTCAAATTCCATCACTCACTCACTCAATTTCAGTCACACACTCAATTTGTCACTCACTCACTCAATTTCTATCACTCACTCACTCACTCAATTTCTCAGTCACTCACTCAATTTCTCACTCAGTCAATTTCAGTCACTCACTCACTCAAATTCTGTCACTCACTCAATTTCAGTCCCTCACTCAAATTCTGTCACTCACTCAATTTCAGTCCCTCACTCAATTTCAGTCACTCACTCACTCATTCTGTCACTCACTCAATTTCAGTCACTCACTCACTCACTCAAATTCTGTCACTCACTCAATTTCAGTCACTCACTCACTCACACAAATTCTGTCACTCACTCACTCAATTTCAGTCACTCACTCACTCAAATTCTGTCACTCACTCAATTTCAGTCACTCACTCAATTTCTCAGTCACTCACTCAAATTCTGTCACTCAATTTCTGTCACTCAGTCACTCACTCAATTTCTCTCTCACTTACTCAATTTCTTAGTCACTCAATCGCTGAATTTCTATCAATCACTCGCTCAATTTCTGTCACTCACTCAGTCAATTTCTGTCACTCAGTCAATTTCTGTCGCTCACTCAGTCACTCAATTTCCGTCATTCACTCAGTCAGTCAGTCAGTCAGTCACTCACTCACTCAGCCAGTCACTCAGCCACTCACTCAGTGTGTCAGTGTCCTATTTCTCTGTAGATCTCTGTAGATGTCTCTCTCTCTCTTTCTCTCTCTCTCTTTCTCTCTCTCTTTCTCTCTCTCTCTTTCTCTCTCTCTCTCTCTCTCTCTCTGGGAGGGGAAAAAGGGGGAGCGCTTCCAGTAGGGCTTCCTGTAGAGACGTCATGTCTAACACAGCATGCTATGAATGATCTGCACTTTAAAGAAAGTGCTACCTTCTCTTTTTCAGTTTAAAAAGGTGCGGGCACCCTGGGACAGGGCGTTTAGTAAAGGCACTCCTACGGAGGGTGAAAAAGGTGTTCAGCTTCTCAGAGAGCGACGCACCCTGCTATTCACAGGCATAGCATTGGTGATTGAATAAGGTTAGTGATGGCTCAGGGTAGTGATGTTTGTGGAAGTTGCTATGGTTACCTGAGAGCAGGGTGAAGGTGACGGAGTAGATGCCATTCTCCTTGGTGGCTGTGCTGCTCTCTGTGTAGGTGATGTCCACCTGGAACTTCACAGGCTTCTGGAAGACAGTGGGGCCCGCTGTGGACTTATACTCCGCCCGAAAACTCGTCTGAGAAATCACACTGTGACTGAGACTTGGAATCTAAGAGAAGAGAAGAGAAGAGAAGAGAAGAGAAGAGAAGAGAAGAGAAGAGAAGAGAAGAGAAGAGAAGAGAAGAGAAGAGAAGAGAAGAGAAGAGAAGAGAAGAGAAGAGACCTTTAAAAATACAAATACCTCATAGATTACACGTACATCAGCCTAAACCGAAAGACATTGCATCAACCTGAAAAGTTAGGCTTTCTATTGACAAACTTTCCACACACTAGACAATGAAGAAAGCCTGCAGTAGGCCATGAAAAGTGTCTTTCACAAGCGCAGGCAGACTGCCGCTACGCAGACATTTGCTGCCACCTCCGCACTAAGAGCCTTTCACTGCAACAGCATCTATATGCTAATGATCACTGCTCTTGGTTCATTTTCTATTGACCTCCAATGAATGCCTCGCTTGGGGGGAAAAATTGAAAGCGCCATGGCCTAGCATTTTACTGAATTGTGACATAAATCACAAGTATGTTGGCAAAACGTTGAAACACTGAGTCTATCAACATGTTTGCTGTGATGGACCAGGCCCTCGATCTGATAGCACTAGCCAGGAAAATACAGCAGTGCGCTCAGATATTCAGAAGAGTGATTCAAATAGCAGGGACAGAATGAGAGCAGAAACATGGCGAAGGGTTTGCATACCGACAGAAAGGCTTGCACTATGTCGGCTTTAATGGAGCTCAGAGGCTTGTCCTTAATCACCACGAAGATCTGCTCCTCTTTCTCCAGGTTGATAAAGTTACCAAACCATGACTTTTTGGCAAGTCTGAAAGCAGAAGACAAATGATGTTATAATGTACTATGCAAACACAGGCTTACATTTGACAGGTGGTTTTATAGAGCTTTTTAAAGGATCCACAGCTGATCTTAATGTCTTGTACTTAATAAATGTAATAAAACATACTACAAGCCAATATAACACCATTTAGAATATAACATTCAGTAATTTCATCTAAGTGCACATCAATCAAGTGTGACGGTTTAAACTTCATCAGTCGTATTAATGGATGACAGAATATAATAACATAATAGATATGAAAACTGATTTGCTGGACTGGAACATGGCAGTTTGTGTTATTAATCATCAGACCCAGCTTTGCACTTTATCATAAATTCAAAAACACTTTCAAAGCAGATGCATTGAAAACACATTAGTTAGGTTTCTATCCATGTATGTTAATGTGCAGCAGGTAGTTCACTAATGAAGAAATTACAGCATACCTTTATCTTATCAAAGCAACAACACATGGATAATAGACAGTAATCGAATAAAAGATGCCTGCAACTGAGTAATGGATGTGTGCCAGTGTGTTCAGCCTCCACAAACTTATGATGTAAAATGAAACCTTACAAGTAAACAAAACAGGCGAGTATCTGCTCAGCGTTAAAGATTGGTCTGTGAACTTGACATTTTTCACAAGTCCTTTTACGAACATGATCTTCAGAGCTTTATTCGCTTGCACTAAGCTTGTATTATATAAAATATAAAACTATATAAAAGCAGGAGCCGAAAAGCTTTTAGAGTCTGGGAATCCGACTTGGTCTCTCAACCCTAACTAGGCTGAGCTCTGCTTAGAATCTGAAACCAGACTAGACCAAGGCTTCTTAAAGCTACTCGGTCAGTGCTGAAAGCTGGCAGACAAAACAGTCAAAGTATTCCACCACTCTATATAACCTAATAGACACTACTTCTTTTTAACCTCCTTAATTGATCTATGACCAAAATAAATATTTTTTTTTTTTTTACATTTCAGGTATTTGCTCGAATATAATGGCAGCTGCCCTTCACATTCTGTGAAAATTTCATGATAATTGGACAGTAGAAATGCTCCAAATTTGCTTGGAATAAAATTTCTCTAAATTGACTTACATTGAAAGTAAAGAGTGTTTTTGCCCTCTCCTGTAAAGTTAATTTTGGAGATACTTGTTTTTCTTTGGACAGCAAAAATATACAAATATGCAATATGCAATCTGCAAATTAAAAAAAAAAAACAAACATAAAATACAAAATGTGCCATTACTTTCGCACATTTTATTTAGTTTGATTTTTTCCAACAATTCAGAAAACAAACAGTAGTTTATACTTTCCTGAGTTTTATCCGTCACTGTAGGACACAAAGCAAAGTACTGTAGTGCACTGGTTACATAATTTGTGACTGGATGAATGTATCTTTGCTCTGCACAGTCATAATCAAATCAGAATCCAGCACATAATCAAAAGCATACAGTGTTGTATAAAAGTTTTAAGCACCAAAGCACACTGTTTAAAACCATGTGTTTTGGCAATAAGTGGGTTTTTACTTGTTTTTACTTGTGAGCTAGTCTGAAGAGCAAAGTTTGGTTCCAGATTTCTGGACATCCCGAGCGATCACGTGGCTTCAATGAATTTCATCACCAGCACACATGATTTAATATAATGAAGTACTGATTAGCCAAACCAGATACTGGATAATAACTACAACTAATAATGGTCTGGGACGAAGAGAGAAGGCCCAAACATGATTAAACGAACACCCTGACTTACATAAAGCCACCGCAGTTTTTAATTCTAAGTTTCTCAGGTGCCTAAAACTTTTGCACAGTACTGTATGTTCCTATGTTAAGGGGGTATAGAGTAGACTAGTCTCATCAGAGGTGACTACAATTAAAAAAAGCATTTATCACATCAGATGTGTGAATGTAAAGAAGAAGAGTTGGTGTTGGAACTGTGTCACAAATTCTTTACAGATTTAACTGAGCATTAGCTGCTGATAGAACTATACCAGTTAAATAAGCTACAATCTAACACTTTCTTTACTGACCTTACAGTCTGAATAACTTACAGTAGTTTGAATGTGTAAGAAAAGGCATTAGGCTAGTCCTTCTTAAACACAGTCAATAGCATGCAGAAGAAAGCATTTCAGAGACAGAGGCAGAGAGCAGAGGAGGCAGAGGAGATACAGTTCTATCCAGCTGGGACAGTGAAAGCCTGATGCATTACAGGAGACAAGAAAGGAAAGAAAAGAGTGTAGTCCTGCCGGAGACTGCACTGCTCAGCGTGAGAGAAAACTTTTTGACTGTTGCCTTGTGTGCAGCGTGTGTGGTAAGGAGAGTCATGGTGGGAGGCGGACACGATCGAGCTTCCAATAAAGAGAGAGACAGAGAGCAGAGAGAGCAGAGAAAGCAGAGAGAGAGAGCAGAAAACTAAAAGGCTTGGCGGTGCCAGACATTGCTCGCAATGATATTTAAGCACGTTTATGAGAGGTGTGAAGCTGTGAGAATCAGGTTTAAGTGCACAGAGGCTTTTTTCATCAGAGAATGATTACTGCTCAAGATGAGCAATTCCTCTTTTACAAAATCCATGTCTGGAGACTGAGTGCTTTTTTATGCTGGTTTTTGCACCATATTTTCACTGTATCCATGAAGAGTGGACTGCAACACGTCTCTTATCCCTGATTCTTCAATTCACAGTAATATATACAGAGCTGTGCCAAAGTCAGAGGCCACCCTTCATTTATTTCTAGGCAAACAGGCATGAAGTACAAGTTACTCATTTTTCAGCATGACGATGAAAGCTGAAAAGGTATTAATATAAAAGAAAATAATACAAAAGCCTCCAACACAAGTACAATATCATGTCTTTTTCTGTATTTTAGTGTGACCACTAGTGTGCCTTTATTCCATTCTGTTCTGCAGATTTACCTTCAGTTTTTTAAAGAAATCTGCAGGGATATTTTTCCATACCTCCAAAGTTCAGTCTTAGATGTTTGCTGCATTTTCTGCTTCTCACGACTGAAGTAATTCCAAACACATTCACGTTCACTTTGGGGTGGTCAGTCCACTGTTCTGAGAACACCAGCAGTTTTTGTGTTTGCTATTTTTTTTTCTTTTTTATCTACTTGATTTTCTCTTCTTTTCAGCTTCTTTATCTGATGGTTACAGTTTTAGCGGTCTTGCATTGTGGTTATCAACATTGTTTATTAGTTATCAGTTATCATCTGTTATATGTAATGTCCTCAGAAATTTCTCAAACAAGTACATTGTACTTAATGGCTGTTTTGACTGGAAATTAAATAAACAAAGGGTGGTCTCTGATTTTTGCGCAGCACAGTACTGTTGATGCGTATGCATGGGTGTATCTAAGGTCATGTTCACAATGAAATTTTGCTACCTGTGAAAAAACTTTGGCTTCAATGAGAACAATGCATTGATGGACAGCAGATTCCAACACACAGCAATGTGTGAACGTTCTCTGCTTACCAGGGTTTTGATGGAACACCGACGTCGACCAAGATGAAAGTTTAACTAATTGCTGATGAAATGCTAAAAATGATCTTGCCAAAATAAGAGAGCTTTGGATATTATAGGTAAGTGAAACTGATATATGGAACGTGCTGCACTGGCTTAAAAGCAGGGATGGGGGTGAGGATTGAGCTTTTGCTCTTTTGCCCTCTGATTATACAACTGCCCTCTTGGTTGATGTGTATAACTATGTTTTACATGTCCATTCTTCAGGATCTATTTCAGAGAGGCGAGGCTCAGTCTCAACCATGGAACTCAACTCATAGGTTGGCTCGAGCTTCACAAGCTCCATCACTCTTAAACTTACTAAACTAAGTGTTAGGGATTACATCAAGCTTTGGGATGCTCTTAAATAGAGTTTACACTCCAAGGCCTATAGCTATTACATATCACAGCTGGTATCATTAGTCTAGTAGATAGTGTTCAGAATGGGGTTCAAATTTCAGTAGTGTTTTTGGCTGCCTTGGGAAAACTTAACACTACGTCTGGTTTCCTCTGAATCTTGATAAAGAGTGTCAACTTTTTCAATTAAATTAAGTTTAATTAACATTTATGTTGCCCTTTTTTACCCCTTGCACCCCTGCCCTCCTAAACATAAACATTCCCAATTCTAACTACAACAAGATTGCATTCATTTCTTAGCACACCAACCAAACCAGCATCCCGTAGGATTTTTTTAATAAACAGAAATCAAAATGTCTCAGTATACACAGCGTGTGTGAATGAATACTTGTGTTGCTAAAGTTGTAAGGACCCAAAGTCCTCACAATGGTAGGACAACATGAGATAAAATTTGTACAAGTGATGACTTTGTGATCACCTTGCTGTTTTCACCACAAATTCAAACTTTCTTTGAAAAACTAAAAAAGCAGAAACATTGCCTTTTAGATACTGAGATTAAAGTTAGTGTTAGATTTTGGTGTAGGTATATTATTACTTTGCTACAGCAATACAAAAATCAATGTAAGTCAATGGAAATCAGTCCTCACAAGTAATGAAAAAAACATGTATGTGCACTTCTGTGTGTGTAATCAGTCACAGATACTCACTCTGGGGAAGACTCTGGTGTGAGGCTGGACATCTCCTCTTGGGTCGGAACTGTTCAAAATGAGGCAATAACATCACAGTCTGAGCAGTTGTGCTCTTATATAATCAGGATCATCATACTAATTTTTTTTACAAAACTCTTTAATTTTCTTGCTCGTAGGCTCCAGCTATGTGAAATGAAATGGTCTAGCACAACAGACCCTTCAAGGAATAGTTTGGTGACAAATCAAATTTACACAATTGTCCCCTTACGCCAAATGTACATCAGTCAAGACATGCTTTGTTCCTGCTTGTTTAGTTGAGCTATGTAGCTAATGTAGCTAATAAGTAATGGAAGCGTATTCTACCAGTTAGCAACTCCATTTACTCATTTACATGTACTCAAGCATAATTTTGACAGATTTAATTTTCAAATGATAATACTATGATTTCTACTGACACAGTAATATGCAAAAGTTTTAGGCACTTAAAAGAAATCTATTTAAAATGTATTTATTTGGTCAGTACACGTTTATTTGCTCAGAAAAACACTAACACAATTTTAATACAGTAAGCAGTGATTTTATGTCTGTCAGTGCATTTGTGTAACTGGTTGTGCCACCCTTGGCAGCAACAACTGCAATCAAACACTTGTGATAACTTGTGATGAGTCTTTTACATTGCTGTGGAGGAATTTCGGCCTACTCTTCTTTGCAGAATTGTTTTAATTCAGCTACATTGGTGGGTTTTCGAGCATGAACTACCTGTTTATGGTTTTTGAGACTCGGTCACTCCAAAACCTTCATTTTGGTTCTTTTGAGCCATTCAGAGATGGACTTGTGTTTTTCGATTCATTGTCCTGCTGCGTAACCCAACTGCGCTTGAGCTTTAAGTCACAAATTGATGAGCCGACATTCTCCTTTAGGATTTTCCGACAGAGAGTAGAATTCATGGTTCCATCAATTATGACAAGTCGTCCAGGTCCTGCAGAAGCAAAGCAGCCCCAGACCATCACACTACCACCACCATGTTTGACTTGGTATAATGTTCTTATGGTGGAATGCTGTGTTAGCTTTATGCCATATGTAATGGGGCCCATGTCTTCCAAAAAGTCCCACCTTTGACTCATCAGTCCACAGAATATTATCCCAAAGGTCTTGGGAGTCATGTTGATGTTTTTTTTGCGAGACAAGCCTTTGTGTTCTTTTTGGTCAGCAGTGGTTTGCACCTTGCAAGCATGCCATATTTGCCCAGTGTCTTTCTTATTGTGGAATCATGTACATTGACCTTAACTGAGACAGTTGAGACCTGCCGTTCTTTAGATGTTCATTTAGGTCCTTTTGTGACCTGTTGGATGAGTTGTCGATGCGCTCTTGGTAAAATTTTGGTAGGCCGGCCACTCCTGGGAAGGTTTACCACTGTTCCAAGTTTGCTTATTTGTGGTTAATGGCTCTCAGTGTGGTTCGATGGAGTCCCACAGCCTTAGCAATGGCTTTGTAACCCTTTCCAGACTAGTAGATTTCAATGACCCTGTTTCGCATCTGTATTTGAATCTCATTGTGTGCTGCTTTTTGAGACCTTCTAGCCTGCTTCACATTGCCAGACATGTTCAATTGTGAGTTTTAGATTCAACAGATCTGACAGTAATCATGCCTGGGTGTGGCTACTGAGGATGAACCCAATAGTCAGGGAGCAATTACTTTTTCACATAGGGCCAGGTAGGGCTGAACAGCATTTTTCCTCCAATAAATAAAATCATCATTTAAAAACAGCATTTTGTATTTAGTTGGGTTATCTCTGTCTAATATTAAAAGTAGTTTGATGATCTGAAACATTCAAGTATAATAAATATGCAAAAAAGAAGAAAATGGGAAAGGGGGGAAAATACTTTTTTTCACAGCACTGTAGATGCTGAATGGAATGGGAAGTTTTTGTCCTTCTACTCAAACTGTTTGTTGGAATACCTTTTATTTTTACTTGAGTACGGGTTTAGAGTACTTTACTCACCTCTGGAATGTCGTACAGTATCAGAAACCACATACGTTTGAGACTGCTTAAGAACTTAAGATAGAATTTGAGGCAAGAGATGATTAAGCAATGGAGTTTGCACACTTCCATTACTAGCTACAGTAGCCTCATGGCCTAAAATACTTAATATAAATAAGGTTGATCTTGTATTGAACTAATTGTCATTGAGCTCGATGCTAGACTTGGCATACCTTGCAGTTTCCTGCGGTGGAAGCGCGGCGAGCCCAAGAAGCTGTTTTTGATGGAGTTGAGGCGTGTCCTCCAGGGCATGCCCCCGATGGAGGGGCTGGGAGGGGGCGTTGGGGTCGGGGTGCCTGCTGGGCTCTCCTTGGGCGTGTGGACGGGCGTCCCTTTGGGGGTGGGGAGAGGACTGCCCCTGGGGGAGGGGTGGGGGGTCACCTGTATGGTGGGGATAGATTTGGTGCTGTGATCAGAGCCGGGTACAGGATGGAAGTGGTGTAGGCGGATGGGGGCAAGAGGCATGACAGGTGAGAAGGGCACTGAGAGTTGAGTTGGCGCAGTGGTAGTGGGAGTCGCACGGCGCACCAGGGGGCTCCCGGGGATAGTGGGCGGCTGCGGCTGGGATGGGGTGGAGGGCTCTGAACGTGCCGCCGAAATGGGCTGGGGCTCAGTTTCTGGTAACGGGTTAGATCTAGTGGCGTGTAGGGGCTTATCAGAGACTTTAGGTTTGGCTGGAAGGGTCTGAGTCTTTGGGCACGTACCCAGGAGCGACTCGGACGCTGAATTTGGCGATAGGGAGTTGGGTGTTGGTGTGTGAGCCTCAGTTTGGTTTGCGTGGGGCTGCTCAGGGGAATCAGTGGGACTAGTGTTGGGCGATAAGGAAAATTCAGACGTCTGGGGGGGTACACAGAACTTTCGGGCGGGCTATATGGGCGGGAGGAGAAGGCATTGACCAGAGCACAGCAGCACATATACATGCACAAAGGAACGGCAGGAGGAGAAGATTTAACGGCCACAAAGCAACACAAGAACAAGGTCAAGGTGTGGACACAAGGTCAAGGTGCAGACATCGGCGCAACCACAAGCAGATCAGAAAACATAAAGCCACAGTGATGCAGATAGAAAAGAAAGAAAACAAAACATGCAGTTAGCCAAGACAGGTAGAGACAGGAGCATCAGCAGAACATCAACATTCATGGAGCAAAGTGAAAGAACAGAAACGATTAGGCTTAAAGGCATTCAAAACGAAGCAGCAGATGGCGAAAAGAAGGTCAAAAGTGCTGGTCATTATCATGAAGGTAAAAAGCTGTGGACAGGCCATGGGTCAAGCAAGAGTGAAGCAGAGTACACAGTGAGTCTCGTGCTGAAACGTGTGTGTCCTTCCACTGAGAACAATGTCACATTTGCATCCTCATCGGAGCCCTTCAGAAGTTATGTAATCCCTAGAGTCTGGTGTCTGGCTCTGGAACTGAAAATACTCTAATGGTGAACTGCCATGGTGTAAAAGCGATTCGGTTCAGGAGTTCACTCAAGCGAGCAAAACAATGAACTTTTGACACCAACATTTCTCTATTTTTAACTTGACAAGAACAAAATGCGTAAACCAGCTCATCTGAGTAACGAGGAGCCTCTTAGTCATCTCTGCTGTTAGAAAGGAGAGAAAAGTTAGGATGTACTGAAATACTGCATATGCAGTTTCCCCACACAGAGACTTTGCTGTCACCTTCGTCTGTATCCGAAGACACAAGGAGTAGAGCATTTAAAGTGGATTTCCAAAATCAATTTCTCTTTCAAATCAGCCTTGGTTTCTGTGTCACGCAGAGCTTTCAGCCAAGGCTGCTGTAATCTGCGAGTGTTCTGAAACGAGTCAGCCAGAAAAGTTTAGCCACGAGCTCCTGGGCTAATCAGAGTGGAAGCTGGATTTTACACGGCCTTCCCTGAGCTGGATTTCCACTGGGTTCAGGACAGAACAGAGGGGGTCTTAAAGGAGCATATCTCTATGGAATGAGAACAGTGCTGCACACATATATACCCACACTCTGAGTCTGTTTTCTCAGTCTTTGTGCTTTATGCCTTATGACTGTGATAATGCTTAAATGGTCCTCAACAACTGTAATCACATTTCAGACAGAAACACAATACTACAGTGTTGAACAGGGACTTTATCCAAATGACTGCTTTCTGTTTAACAACCTCCATTTTTTTCAAGTCAGTGGTATAAACGTCTACTAACACACTATTTGGTTGTAATTAGATCTACATGTGGAGGTGAGGTAATGCAGTTAGTAGCAAAGTATCTCTGTGATTTTAGCCCTGGCCAAATCTGCCAGGTCATTAACTTTCTTAGTCTGCACATTTACATGTCTGTAAAGGTTATGTCAGTTTTTACCTACTATTAAATAAACTGTAGAAATCAGTCCCCTGCATTACATCATCACTGTCCAAAGAAAAAACAAGTATCTACAAAACAGTAACTTTACAGGAGAAGGCAAAAACATTCTTAACTTTTAATGCAAATTAATGTAAAGAGATTTTATTTCAGGGAGTTTAGGAGCATTTCTCTAGGTCCTCCAAAAGATCAAAAGATGTTGAAAAATAAAAATCTCTCTTTTTTTTTAAGTGACAATATGTTGAAAAATATTTTAACACATTGTGTGAGAAATTAATGTTGTTTCTTCTTAAAGGGTCTGGCAACTCAACTGCAAATATTTACATTTTAATCTCAAATGACCCCAGAGATGTGGCTAGAGAAGCTGGCAAATGCTTATACTGACTGAATGATCTATTGTCTAAATTGAACTAGCAAATAAATTATGTAGAAAGACCTCCATTTTACTTGAATAATCTGCCCAGCAGCTCCGATATCCAGCAGAGACAGAAGAGAGGAACAGGCTGCTCTTGAAAGTCCAGCTTCACTTGTGTGGAGTCGTGAAACTGATTGCTCTTAGACACTGCAGACAGACACTATCTGTTTTTTTTTTATTTGGTGGTCAATAGTACATTGATGGAGGAGCCTATAACTAAAAGCATACAGATAAACAGATTAACAAAGTAAGTGGGCAGCCCCTTTAAGTATGGAGGCACTCGACAAGCACTTACTTTTATTGTCTGTGGCCAAAATTAAACCGATAAGTATTGACCTAAAGTGTACAGTACTGAAGACTACAGCACAAGGTATGTGGACACATGCCTGCTTTTGTTTTTGTTGTGACAACAATGCAGTAAATCAGGAAAGACATTTCCATATCTCTTATTTATATAGATGTCTCTGATCCTGTGTGATTCAGTCATAATCACATTACATGCACCTTGTGGTAACATTACAACATTGTCCTATCAAAACCTTTGGGGGTTATTTATTTTTTGCCATCTGAAAACAGCACATGCCCTTTAGAACGTGTGAACATTTCAGGATGAATGGACCAATAAAAGAGGTCCAGAAATACCTGGAATAAAATCTACTCTGCTATAATGTTCTGTAGATAAAAGGTTTTGTTGTGACAAAGTACTTAAGATTCTGTTTTCAGCTTCTAACTGGTTGTGAACTACATACAGCAGCCATGTACAGCAGTGTGCAAAAGACAGGGACCACCCTTCACTTATTTAATTATCAGTCAAAATGACCACTAAGTTCAAGTTATTCTTTCTCAGCATCAGGAAAAAGAGTGTCTACTCTTTGCCTTTATTACAGCTTCCATTCTTTTTCAGCAGACTTGCTTTCAGTTTTTTCAAAGAATAGGGATATTTTTCCATACCTCCAAAGTTCAGTCTTAGAGGTTGGTTGCATTTCCTGCTTCTCACAACTGATGTAATCCTGAAAGCATTCAGTGATGTTGAGATCTGGACTCTGGGGTGGTCAGTTCATTGTTCTGAGAACACCAGCAGTCTCTTTGTTTAATTTCTAAATGTTCTTTTTTGTCTATTTTCTTTTCTCAGTAAGACAGTGTACAGTAGACAGCTACACATCCTTTCAGACTCACAGTATTGAGTTGTCTTCTTACAGTGGAAGGATGGACAGGAACACCTGCGGATTGTCTCAAATCGGAAGTAAGAGTGGAGCTTGATTTTCTCCTCTCTCTTAAATATGAAAGCTGAAAGTGCTGTTTATCTGAAGGTGACAGTTTTGGTGGTCTACCATGTCTTGCATGGTTGTTAGGAGTTCCATTTTCTTTGTACTTTTTTTTATTTTTGGAACTCCAGCTTTAGGAATTCCATTTTTTTCACATATTTTCCTTTGACTTTCTCCTTTCTTACAAGTGGATTATCTTATATTTAATCTCCTCAGAAATATCTCCTGAACCTAAAGACTGGAAATGACTTAATGACTGGAAACTTTATAAATGAAGGGAGGTCTGTGATGTTTGCACTGTACAGTATCAGTACTGGATGAATCCTGAGTGTGCGTGTGAGCGGATTATGAAAAGGGTGTTGGCATTGGGTGCTGGCAACAGAAGCGAGGAATAAAAAGAACAGTAACAGAATGACAGAGATAAATAGGGGAACTCACCCGTGGACTACTGAGCGGGCTGGTGGAGAGACCCGATGAAGCTCCGCTGATTGAGCGTGATCTGCAGACACACACACAGCAACATGCAGAACATAAGCCACAGTCATGTCAGAGACACACACAGGAGCAGGTTACAAACAGAGCGGAGGTCTGCTGCAAGGCCTCTAGGCACAAAATGACTGGGAGGAGATTTTAGAAAAATCCAGGCTGGCAGTGATGAAACAAATCCAACACACACGCACCACACTGACACTAAACAAAGGATAATCTATGTCACTGTTATCGATGACAAATCTCCTCAAGATGCTCTCCTCTGGCTGGGAGGCAGAGGCGCAGACTGATAAACTTAACAAAGCAGTGTCTTCCTTTGTCTTTACAGGATTATCACTCATCTTGAGCTGAGGCCTGTTGTTCTTCTCTGCCAACAGATGTCCGCACAGACACCAGCGCACGTTTCAATCACCTCCGAGCAGGAGCAAATGAATTATCAGTCACCAATCTGTCTTCATCAGGCGAGATGGCTGTCCGTGCAGACGGAGCCCAGCTGTTCCACTTCTTTCATGTCACTTTTTCCTCTCTCTCCATCTCTCTCTCTTCCCTCTATCCCTCTGTTATTCTGCCTGTCACACATCCTCTCCCAGTCTCTCCCTCCATCCATGCCTTCATCACCCTTACCAACTCATCTCCCCCTCTGTAGCTCAGGAGCGACTGATTACTCAATTCAATTCTACATTGCTTTTTACAGACGTCGTGATAAAACAGCTTTACAGGAGTGCTGAGCGCAAGAGAGACAGAGACAGACAGAGAGAGAGAAAGACAGAGAGATAGAGACTGAAATGAGGTAGAGAGAGTCGGTCACTTTGAGACAAGCTGGTGTCAGTGCTTTCTTAAAGCTGTGTCTATCTGTCTCTTATCATTCAACCTTCTGAGACTGTGACTGAAGAAAGAAGAAAGAGACTGAGAAAGAGAGAATGGGGGACAGAAACAGAGAGAGAGAGAAACAGAGAGATCAAGAAAAAGAGAGATACGAGAGAGAAATGCACAAGAGGGGGGAGAGAGAGAAAGACAGCGAGAAAGAGAGGGACAGAGCAAGAGAGACAAAAAAGGGAGAGAAGCAGAGAAAGAGAGACAAAGAGAGAGGCAAAAAGTGAGAAAGCGAGAGGTACAAAGAGAGAGAAACTGAAAGAGAGAGAGCCTGAAAGAAAAGAGAGAGACTGAAAAAGAGATATATGAGAGGGAGAGCAATGGGAGAGAGCAAGCGGGACAGAAAGAGAGAGAGGCACAAAGACAAAGGAGGGGGGCAGAGAGAGAAGAGGGAAAGCAATGGGAGAGAGAGCAAGAGACAGACAGAAAGAGCAAGACACAATGAAAGAATGACTGAAAAGGAGATGTGAGAGAGAGAAAGGGTAAAAGACAGGAAGAAATAGATGGAAGCAGAAAGAGACAGAGAGAAAGAGAGAAGGAAGAGAGATAGAAGAGAGAGAGGGGCAGGGAGACAATGACAGAGAGAGGGAGGGAGGTGACAGAGAGAGAGGACAGAAAGATAGAAATAGAGAGAGAAAGAAAAAGAGAGACAGAGAAAGGAATAGAGAAAGGCAGAGAGACAATGAGAGAGAGACCAGGAAGGAAAATAAGATGCTGAAACTGTAAGAAAGAGGCCAGTTCTAAACTCCTGTACTGTTTGCTCTGAGTGTGTGAGTGAGCGGGAGGACAGTCGGCTGACCAACGCAAAAACAGCTCACGTGTCTCATAACCTGCAGTGATCAGTAGGAGTTAGAGAAATGTGTGCACTGATTATTCATACAACCAGAACACACAGCTTACAGTGATGCCACAGACCAGAAACACTACAGCACACAAACACACCACACACAATCGCTCCAAACACCCATCAATCACAACCTGACACACAGTCTTTAAAGATGAAGACAGACAGAGATGAAATTGAACTTGCAGTGTGAGATTTTTGGACAAGAGCCAATTTAATTAAAATATTTAATTTAATTAACAGAATTTCATATCTGTTACATGTTCCAATTGCTAAGTTAAACCCAGCTTTATTTATTTATTTATTTATTTATTTGTTTTTTGAAAGCTCAATTTATGTGGTTTTGTGAACAATTTTAATTAGCTTACAAATGTTTTGGCATGCTATGATACAAATCATCACAAATTAAATTCTTGCCATGATTTTCTGATGTTTATTGGCACAGGTATGTACTTAACCTCAGGCCTAATTGTAGTTTATAACTTGAATATTGTAACTCTAGCTTTGGTGTAACTGCAGATTATCACATGAATAATGCTATTTTATATTTGACCTAATCACACCTTATAATCTGAATATTGCTTATTTAACTTTTGTCTAATTGCAGCTCATAATCCTAATACTGCTCTATTACATTTAGACATTTTTACATTTATAATCGGAATATCGACACAGTTTATATTGTGAATATTGCTACAGTTTATAATCTGAATACTGCTACTCTACCTTTGGCATAATATTGCTGCTTTATATTTGGCCTACTGCAGTTTATAATCTGCATATAGCTCTTTTACTTTTGATATAATTTCAGTTCAATTTGAACATTGCTGCTGTACATTTATGTTTAACTGTAGTTTAGAATTTAAATACTGCTACTCTAGCTTTATTGCAATTTATTATCTGAATATTGCTACTCTATATTTGGCATAATCACAATTTATTATCGATATATTGTTATAGTTTATAATCTGAATATGTCTCCTCTAGCTTTGGCCTAATATAACTACTTTACCTTTGACCTAATACTGCTACTTTATATTTGGCCTGATTGCAGTTTATAGTCTGAATATTACTACTTTACCTTCGACCCAGTTAAACTTTATAATCTGAATATTCCTACACTTTATAATCTCAATATTCTTTTTTACATTTGGCCTTAAAGCAGTTTATAATCAGAACATTGTACTTTACATTTGATGTATTTGCAGTTTATAATCTGAATATTGCTACTTCACCTTTGGCCTTAATGCAGTTTATAATCTGAATATTGCTACTTCACCTCTGGATTTGTTGCAGTTTATAATCTGAATAATCTACTTTACATTTGGTGTATTTGCAGTTTATAATTTGAATATTGCTACTTTACCTTTGGCCTAATTAAACATTATCATCTGAATATTACTACATTTTACAATTTAAATAATGCTAGTTGAATTATGAAACTTTAAAAGGCATCATATTTTAAGATAATGAACAAAATTCACACTAAGCACACTCTCAAAGCTGTAAAAAGGGCACTGAACCAATTTAAAGTAATTATATTCATAGCAAAGATATTCAGCTTGAGTGAATTCTGCACTAATATTATTAAAATATAAATACAATAATGGAAATATCTTTCAGTTCTGTGCTTCCATAGAGGAAAAAAGTTCCAAATAAACTGTTGATCTTGATATGGTGTGATTTAGGCTACTGTCCTTGTCATCTGAAAATATGCAGTGATTAATACAGCACATTTCACTGATACACATTACACCGAGTGATGTGACTAGCGCTTTGTGTGGGGGCATGATGGCTTAATAAAATCTCTGTGTAAATGTCACCTGAGGCTACATTCTCACTAACTGGGCCCATCAGGCTGCGGTGGGATCTGCAGCATGCTGCTTCTAAACACAGCCCATAAGGCAGTTTGTTCGGCCTCTTGTTTGCAAGTGCAGTCCATAGGGCCTCTTGTTTGCAAGTGTTTGAGGTGGGTCCAGAATGCCACAGGGCAGCTCACTAAAGCAGCAAGAGGGGGTGGATGAGCAGAAGAGACAGCAAGAGTGCCAGGAATCACATTAAACAACACAGCCCATCCCAAAGACATCGTGGGATTAAAGCAGCAGCAGCTCAGAGCAGAGAGAGCCGCCTGACTAAAGCCTGACAAAATACACGGGCCGAGAAAGTGCTGAGTAAAAGCTCTTATGGGAGAACAATATGCATTGTGGTGATTGAGTCTGCTTGTGTTGATAATAACTGGCACAAACAAATAAGCCGTCAAAGTAATCGTACACAGCCATATCAGCAAAACTAATGTAACTTGATAACTTACAAAACAAATCTTCAGTCAACGAAATCTTCAAAAGCCATTTCAGCAAAACTAAAATAACATGACAACCCACTAAATACAGACTGGGGACAAAGAAAAAACCTAAATAATCGAGAGGAGAAACCTCCAGACAGGTGTACTGAGTGATACAGTTAAGCAAATACATCCTACCACAATCTGTGGCATGCATAAAAATGCTGAGCAGGCACAGTTGACCTCAATTTTGGATCAAGACAGCAAGAGACGCAAGTGTAAGTTTTTACTGGGGCACAGATGGCAGGAGCTTCAGTCACAAAGACTATTCAACTGTTTCAATAGGAAGACTGACAAAAGAGACATCTGCATTGTGATCTATGACAAAGACATCAGTAAATATGTTGGAAATGGTGGTCGAATTCACACATTCAGTGAGCATGATGCTCAGGCATTAGTTGGATATGTAAGCTAAAGCAGAGGAGTAGATGTTCCTCAGGTAACTGAGAAGGTCAATGCAGGCCGTGTGTCAGCATAAAGAGGGACATTACAGTAGGGTAACAGTTCATAAACCCCTCATTACAAAGAGGAATGCATATCTGAAATCTCAGTGGTGTAAAAAAAAAAAGTGATACAGTTAGAAGAGTCATCCTCCACCATATTCTCCACAAGTGAGCGAGTGCATGTGTGGCTTACACCAAGGCCCAATCCCATTCCCTATTTTTACCCCTACCCCTTGTTTTCGAGTCACCTTGCCCCTTGGAATTGAGTTACAAGGGGTAGTGGTTCAAATCTTCCCCTACGAAATGGGACCCTCAAATAAAAAAGAACATTACTTCATTAACAGGCTACAAGTGGTGCTCTGTAGGCGACCCTGCCAGTCTGCAGTGATAGCAGAGAAGGGTAAAATTCCTTGCTGCTGGGCTTTAGTTACACTTAGAGCACACATGCCTTCAAAGAGAGAGGGTTGTGACAATTATTTATTATCACCCACCCCTTATTCTTCAGTGAT